CAAATTTTCAAACTCAATTTCTAGCAATTCTAGACCTCGTAGCGCAAAACAAAGACACCATTAGACTCCCCCTGACGAGCTGCATTGAATCGATACCCATTTTATGCAAAAATATCAACTTGAAATTTGACCTTTTTTTACCTGACCTTGACCTGACCTCCACCAGAAAGTGACCTAAATCGTACCTGATGGTCTTATACCAACACCATTGAGTGGAAATGAAAAACTGGCCATAAAATGCATCACATAACCTTAGTAAAGTTGGGCTCATGTGGTGACCCTTGGTGACCTTTGGTGACCTGACCTGTGACCTGACCTGGTATGACCAGTGACCTCTAATAGCAACATATGTACTAGAAAACTGACGCCTTATCGCTGATTTTCGACAAAATGCGTTTTATTCGGTGTTATAGCGCTTTCCCTAGAAGCCCCGTGAACGGTGAAACATTTTATCTTTGACCTGACCTGTGACGTCATCGGTGACCCCGAGGTCAATGAAATTTGGTATCCTTCGACAAATTTGACTGGCCTATCGAACGCCGTTTGAATTTTCCGGATCCGTCCAGTAGTTTCGGAGATACGGGGGTGGCAAAAAAATGCCCCCCCCCCCCCCACCGCGCGGAAGGTGGCTGGTAGGCCCACCGCCTGCCGGGTTAACTACACAGCCTTATAGTATTTAAGTAAATGGAAGGAAAAGGCAATGGAAATAGTTGCTTATCCACAACAGCACAGCGATATGTTTAGGTGAGTTAACCCGCGCCCGTGGGGTCTGTTTGTAACGCGACCTGGTGGGGGGGACTATTTTTTGCCCCCCCTCGTATCTCCGAAACTACTGGACGGATCCGCAAAATTCAAACGGCGTTCGAAAGGCCTGTCAAATTTGTTGAAGGAAACCAAATTTCATTGACCTCGGGGTCACCGATGACGTCACAGGTCAGGTCAAAGATGAAATGTTTCACCGTTCACGGGTCTTCTAGGGAATGCGCTATAACACCGAGGAAAACGCATTTTGTCGAGAATCAGCGGTAGGGCGTCAGTTGCCTAGTAGATATGTTGCTATTAGAGGTCACTGGCAATACCAGGTCAGGTCACAGGTCAGGTCACCAAGGGTCACAGGTCAGGTCACATGAGCCTAACTTTACTAAGGTTGTGTGATACATGTTTTATGGCCAATTTTTCATTTCCAACTCAATGGTGTTGGTTATAAGACTATCAGGTACGGCTTAGGTCACTTTCTGGTGAAGTTCAGGTCAAGGTCAGGTCAAGGTCAGGAAAAAAGGTCAAATTTTAAAGTTGATAGTTTTGCATAAAATGGGTATTGATTCGATGCGGCTCGTCACGGGGAGTCTAATGGTGGTCTTTGTTTTGCGCTACGGGGTCTAGAATTTCTAAAAATTGAGTTTGAAAATTTGACGTCATCAATTTTGAACAGTTTTTTCGCTATAACTTCGCCAAAAAAAGAGGTATCAATCTCAAATTTGGTATGTGGATTGAAGGCGGTAAGAACTATCACATATATTCCGGTTTTGCGAAATTCAAAAAACTTTTTGGATTTTTCGATTATTATATTCAAAAAATCTATTTTTTGATTTTTGGTGGTCAAAATCCAAAAATTTCAAAAATCCGAGATCGCAGTTTTGTAGCCCTGTCAAATCTACAGCTTTTATGTCTTTATCATTTTTCTGTATTCGCAAAGCTATAGGCCTGACAGCTCTTCCTGCGAAACCATTTTTTGGGTCGAAAACGGCAGAACATGACGTCACTCTGACGTCATTTCCGGCCAACCTATCATAGCCTTTGGAAAAATTTTAGTCACAATGTGTAAAATTGATGTCCGGGAGGGAACTGAAAGTTTGGTGACGATCGGCGCAGCGGTTCTGGAGATATATCGAAAAGTCTGGAGGGGGGCAAAAAATAGCCCCCCCCCCCACCAGGTCGCGGGTTAAGAAAAATGTCCCTCTGAATGTGTAACTCGAAACAAACAAACAAAACGGTTGCCGCTCTATTTCAGCTTCTGAAAATATCACCTTGAGCACGGAGTCAACGTATGGGGGGAATCCGAAGTATCTGGCCTTCGGTAAACGGAGAAAACAGCGTAACATCTCACACTCCAAGGTTACAGGTGCGTTTTACCATTTATCCCATTTTCTCCATGGATTCATAAAAGAAGCATTTGTAACTTTGTACTACAGGGTACTCGTATATAGGAATGTTTCGAAATAGAGTTTGCAAAAAGCTTGCTGTGGAGTGTGGATAAATAGATCAGTAAATAAAGCGGAACGTTTCAACTTTCATCTGAACGGCGATTATTGAATTTACATTACAATATTCCCTCAAGTGTGTGCCAAATAAGTTACTTGACTTTATGAAAAGCGAACTGTCTCTTACTTTTATTTTTGTATATATTTTAAATATATAGCATACCTACCTACATCTTCGTGGCCGAAAGTGTTTTGTTGGTTTTGGGAACAGCGGGAAAACAGCGATTAGTTGTTGTTTGTATCTTTTTTAGCGGACGATTCAGGAATCCGCTCTCACGTGGCCAGGTCAAAGGTTAGCGACCTGTGTGTGACCCGAAGACGTCAGAAGAATGTCGACAATGGGACGCCGCTTGTCGGTGAGAGCGGACGGCCAAACGAGAACTAGCATGCTAAGATATATTGTTTTCACTCACAAGCATTGTGCCAATATGAAACGCACAGTATACTGGACACTGACATCTGGCAGCTCTCTGTAGCAACTATAGTTTCCAGAAAGTGCGCGAACATTGCATCCCCAAGCTACCAACATAGGTCATCAGGACATGGTATGTGACTTGAATTTAGGTTCACCAGCTGGATTAAGTTAGTTCTTATTTTTCTTTTTGTGATTTTTTTCCTTAAATGACGCTGAAGTTTATTGTTATATATGCGAGAGTTCGTAAGTTGCCGTCCTTTTCTACCGTTTTCAGTGGAGCCGGTGGTAAACGGGACCTGCCATGCTGGGCCAGCCAACCGCACAATGTGGACGGCAGTATCCTCCCCTGCCAGTGACGCTCTCCAGTGCCTCTGCATGTGCATGGAGAAGGAGCACCTCCTGACAGCCATCTTAGAGAGGTAATGGCACTCGCAGTGGCTCTCATAAGTCATATAAATCCAACCATAAGCAGCACCATGTGGCGAGTATAAAGTTTATTCATAGTGTATGGCGTTTTGTATTATTATTGCCGTTTTCTGTACTACTTACGTACGTATGTACGTTTCATTTCACAGTGGGCGCTGCTATTGTGCTCCCGGCGCCTCCCAGCTGGGGAACGTCACAGCACAGACCACATGGCCGGCTGCATGCCCCATGGGCACGGACCGGGTCTCCTTCAGCGTCTCACAGCACGTGGAGGCCCTGATGCAGTACTGCCGCTACAGTCCTCTCACAGGTGAGGGTCCAGTCTAATGTCCAGCGTTGATACAGTCCGCAGACAGGTGGGGGTTAACCATCCATTGTCCAGTGCTGTCATTTGTGGCAAATAGAAACGTCGCTGATAGCTGCTGCTCTGACCACCAAATTGCTGTATCACGCTATGCTATGGTGTCAATGTATGCACTTTTAAATATGCGGATTTCCACATAGTACACACAGAGAAATATTGAGCGATGTCAAGGTCAATATACTCATAAATAGTCCAAATATGTGATAGGTAGGTATGTCTGTGTCTAAATCATTACTGAACGGTGATCGTATCTGAAGCGTAGGAAACTGAGAGTATACACATTTTGCCATTTTGTTGAATCCTACGATTGCCTGGAAAATACATTTTTAACAAGAGAACATTGCTGGCTATCTTATGTTGTGTTTCACCGCTTCACGGATTTTCCAGTTTCTAGTGCATAGACGGATAGCTTTGCAATCATGATTTTGAGTTGCCCCAAGCTGCCCAACATTTCGAATATCAAGCGGAAGGAGCCAGAGTTCACAATCCACATCAACTGTTTTGTCTGAAAGCAAAATTAGGTCATCTTCTGCTTTCTTTCAAATGAAGGCCACAACCTTTATCGATTTGATTACATACAAATTTTAGTACGATAGTAGGCAGTAGCATAAACTACCGCGACAAGCTCTGCTTTCAAAGCTCATCTATTTTTGAGTGACACATCAATGTATTCCATGATTCCAGGGAGGAAGTCTCTCCGAATTGGAGACACTGGTAAATATACGCAAGTTACATTTTCAGTATTCGACAATATAGCCATGACGCGGCTAACGTCATCGGAGAGCAACGTTGCAGGTGGGTGGATGCGAAAATTATTTATAGCCTGTTCAAAAGCTGTAGCATCAATTTTTGACAAGTAAAGTGAGTAGGTATTTGTAGCCTCTTTTTACCTACATAGTAAAAAGAGTAGGTATGTACATGTACTTTACGGTTTTATATGCTTTGCGGCCTATGAAGTATATAGGTACGTCCTAAAGAAATGATAACCCGTAATATGTTCTTTATGAAAATTCCTTCATGAATGGCTGTATGGCTGTCCTTTTCTTAGTTTGGTCACCGCATGGTTCATGCTCACCGCAGGCTGCCATCAAAGTGACATCATGCTGCTGATGATTTTATTTTTACCACGTTAACCCGCGCCCCGTTGAGGTCTGGCAGGCTCCACGTCCTCAGTTGGGGGGGGGGGGGGGCAAAGGGTATATCCAGAACCAATCGCTGGATCGGAAAAATTCAAACGGCAATCGAAAGACCTCATCGAGATACACAAGATAATATATCGATGACCTTGATATTTGACCTGTGACGTCACAGGAAGGTCAAATAAGGTCAAATCAGTCCAATTTGCAATGACGAGAAGTCGGTCATAAAATAAAATCTAAGTTTTCAAAATGAGTCTGGATATGATGTATATGATAGATCTGGCATGTGGATAGTCATCTGAGTGGATGACGACCTGTAACCTCACAACATGGGTCAGCCTCGACCAATCAGAAAACACTTTGTTGAATCGGAAGGAAAGGCATATTAAATTGTGATAATTCGAGTCTTTATGAAGACATGTCATATATATGCATCCATAGAAACCTCCTTGACCATTGTTCTTGGACCTATGACGTCATAGGAAGGTCAAATAAGGTCAAATTATACCGGTTTATAACGAAAAACTATTTTTTACGTAAAATTGACTTAACCCTCGCATGTGTAGGGGGGGGGGTCGGTTGGACCCCCCATGGTTTTTCGCGAATAACTCGCGTAAAAAGCGGCCGATCGCGACGAAACTTTCAGTACCCTCACATTGATCAATTTTACACCTACCTTGAAAATTTCATGACCCTGACCCAAATGACCTTTGACCTGTGACCTCTTTTCCGAGACCATGTTTGGCCGGAATCGCGATTCTGCGTATATCGGCTCGCATTAGCCACGCGTTTGCAAGCTTTTCGTGGTTTCAAACGTTCAAACATGTGATTTGATGTTGCTTCCATGCATTAGGGTGGGTGTCAAGGTCACCTGAAGGTCAGGTCAGGTCATTGACCTTTGGTGACCTCGGGTGACCTCGGTTCACTTTTTCGAGCTGTACATGTTTCTAGGCTAGTTTTTGGAGCTGAATTCGAATTTAGCAACCATTTGAACATTTACGAAGTAGTTTTGGTGCCTTCGTAACATGTTACGAAGCTGTCAGAGGCGGTTGACACGTACTACGAATACCCGTCACGACGCCTACTGGTTGACCTGACCTGACCTGACCTGACCTAGTCTAAATGCTTAAAGACATCATCTGTGATCAAAACTAACACGATATTTGTGATCAGCACCCCGAAAAACCCCTTAGCAGCCACACTTTACAACTTTCTGTGGCGTAGTTAAGTTATAGCGGCGTAGGCGGTGGCTCCTCGGCCCTTGTGGCGCGGGCCCGACCGCGGGCGTAGGAACCGCGACGCCCGTGGTTTATGGCGCGGCCCCGAATGTCAGGGGCGTGGCCCTGCGCGGCCGGCGCGGTGCTGGGTCGCCGCCGAGAGGCGGTCAGGGTGTTGGAGTCGGTGACCGGGAGCGGACGCAATAAATGAGAGTGCAAGTCTGAGGACTGTTGGCGTCGGAGACAACAACACAACATTGGCGCGGTCGAAGGTAAGAAGCCTACGTTTGCCTTCTTCTACCGAGTATCTTATCCCGGTTAGGGCACCCGTCGCTCCGGACTATTTGGTATTCTTATTTGTGCCGAGGTCAGTGAGAGGTGCACTCCACTGCTCACTCGATAACTCACCTGGAGGCGGGGGCAGCGAGAGGTGTACTCTGCTTGTCACTCGGTGCACAAAACAGAAATGGATGAGAAAGAGAAGACAGGCCAGAAATTCCAGTCGGATAAACTTCTGCGCTTTACATCCCGGATCAGGAAATTTGACGGAGGTAATGATGAAGGCTGGGATGTTTGGATCCAGCGGTTTGAGCTATTGGCAGGCCTGGGGGACAAAAGCGAATGGCTCGAAACGTTATTTATATGCCTAGATGGTAAGGCATTGGACGTGTGCGCGTCAATGCCAGAAGAGCTGCGAAGACAATACGCCGAGGTCAAGAAAGCTCTAAGCGCACGCTTTGGGAAAGACGTGAACACTATTCACGCATATTCGGACCTCAACCAGGCTATCAGACAAACAGGAGAATCATTCGAGGATTTCGGCGACAGAATCCAGGAGTTGGCCAAGAGGGCCTACCCCGAGAAATCTTTCTCAGACCTACAGTCGGCTATAGTGAGTCAATTTTTGCGTGGGTTAAAGGAGCCTTGGCTACAGACAAAATTGATGGACAAGCCCTTGAGCACTCTAGACGAGGCCGTAAAAGAGGTGCGATGTCTCCGTCGGACTCGGGATGCTCTGGCCGCTATCGGAGCCGTCGGTGGCTCGAGCGACGCAGAGGAAAGGCCGTCCGACCAGGTGCTTGTAGCAAAAGCGCCAAGCTCAGCAGACCAGCTCGAACAAAAAGTTAATAGGCTGCAGGAGAAGCTGGACGAGGTACTGGGCGTCGTCGCTGCGATCGGAGAGGCGCAGAGTTCAAAGGACGAAATGGACCGCCAAAGAAAGAGAATAGAAGCAAGGTGCTTCGGCTGTGGGGAGCCGGGTCACTTTAGAAGAAACTGTCCGCATGCCTCACCGAGAAGACAAAAGGTGACCGAGAGACCGGAAGCATTTTGTATGTGCTGTGGAAAGGCGGGTCACTGGATGGCTACCTGTCGGAAGCGACCCGAGCTCAGCCGTCAGAGCCAGCATCTGTCGGAAAACTAAGCGCAGCTGCGACCGGGAGGCGGGAAGCAGCTGGGAAAAGCGAGGAGCCTCGGAAGACGGCAGCAATGATCAAGGTGATGTTGGAAGGGAGGCAGATTTGGGCCTTATTGGACTCTGGAGCGGACTTCTCACTGATCAATGAAGAGCTGGCCAACTCATTGGAGGAGCAGGGCGACCGGTTGATTGATCAACGGTCAGCCTCCTCTGTTCTCGGGGCTTCTGGAGAACACATTGACATCCTGGGATGTAGACAGATTGGATTCAGGATCCAAGAGGAAACATTCACCTGCAAAGTGGCGGTGACACGAGGCCTCATTGTAGACCTGGTACTGGGGCGAGATTTCGCGTGTCGGTATCGCTCGGTTCTGGACGATGAGGCAGGCGAGTGCCGCATTGGGAAATTGAGAATTCCGCTGCCATCTTACAGTGAAGTTCAACCGAGCAGATCAAGGGTACGCATTCTGCAGACATCGATCATTCCTCCACGTTCAGAAGCGTTCGTACTGGCAAAAGTCGAACCTTTGAACGGTGGGTCGCAAATGGACCCAGGCCAGAGCTTCCAGGGAGTCTTAGAGCCATGTGAGAAGAAGAACGCGGAACATCTATGGGTGCCACGCTCAGTGGCGATCGTCCGAGACAATCGGGTTATCCCGATCAAAGTGGTCAATACCGGCACGACCGAGGCTAAAATCATGAAGCACACAGACGTAGGAACGTTGTTCACCATCTCGGAAGGAGAAAAGGACTTGTACGATATCTGCGAGCAGGCAGATGCGTCAAAGGATGCAGCACAGCTTTCAGTCACGACTGTTCCAGGTCTGGATTTGGAGAATTGTGACTTGTCAGAAGAAGGTAAACGAGAGCTAGAAGCGCTGGTGCGTGAGTTCTCTGACATATTCAGCAAGGGCGCCGATGATATCGGAAGGACTCATCTCACTCAACATGAAATTAAGACGGGAGATGCCGCTCCGATCAAGCAGAGGCCTCGCCGAATACCACTGAAGCTGCGAGATCAAGTGGAACAACAAAAGGTCGAGATGCTCAGAGACGGCGTCATAGAAGAAAGCACCAGTCCGTGGTGCTCACCGATTGTGATGGTAAGGAAAAAAGATGGAAGCTACCGATTTTGTGTGGATCTGCGAGCTGTGAACAGCGTCACTCAGGGGATGTCCCATCCCCTTCCCCGAGTGGACGATGCACTGGACACACTGGCAGAAGCGAAATATTTTTCTTCGCTGGACATGGCGTCAGGATACTGGCAAGTCGAAATAGCTCCAGAGGACAGAGAAAAGACCGCTTTTACAACAGGCAAGGGTCTTCATCACTTCAAGGTCATGGCCTTTGGCCTCAAAAACGCTGGACCAACATTCCAGAAGCTCATGGAACTCATTTTGGCAGGAATGGACAACAAAACGTGCCTGGTCTACATTGATGACATCATTGTCTTCAACGGCACTGAAAAGGGCCATCTCGAGACACTGACTGAGATGTTCAACAGGATCCGCGGAGCTGGCATGAAGCTGAAGCCGAGCAAGTGTCTCCTGGGGAGGCAGGAAGTGACCTTCTTGGGACACAAGGTCATGTCGGGAGGAATACTTCCAGACCCGAGAAACGTGGAAAAGGTGGCTCAGTGGCCACAACCTCAAAACGCTGATGAGCTACTGAGCTTCCTGGGCTTGTGTGGCTACTACAGCAAGTTCGTCAAAGAGTATTCCGAGGAAACTAGACTGTTACGAGAGGCTGCAGCGCGAAAGGGCCCGCTCGATTGGTCACCCGAGCTGTTGAACGCCTTTGAAAGGATGAAATACGTGCTGACCTCCGCACCGGTGCTACGACTGCCCACGTTCCGAGGCAAATTCAGGCTGGACACCGATGCGTGCAACGCGTCGATAGGCGCAGTCCTCACCGAGACAGTCGATGGTGAGGATCATGTGGTCGCCTACGCCAGTAAAGTGCTGTCTAAGTCGGAAAAAAGATGGCCAACTTATGACAAGGAGCTTTGGGCAATTGTGTGGTCGATACGCCACTTCCGCCAATATCTGGTTGGCTCGCCGTTTACGGTGTGCACAGACCACAAACCTTTGAGAAACTTACCAAAGTCGATTGTGATTGAAAACGACGCTACGGGCAGAAGAGGTCGCTGGGCAGTCGAGCTCAGCTCCTATGAGTTCGAGGTCGAGATCAGACCGGGCGAGAGTCACGGCAACGCTGATGCACTCTCACGAAGACCTGCAAGAGGCGAGGTGACGCCAGAGGTGGCGCCTGACGTCCAGTCAACAGCAGGGTCGCTCATGCCCCCGGTCCATTCCGTTCCGTTCGCGGGTGCGAAGGAACAGGACAGCGGTGAGGTGCCAAATTCACTGAATCGCAATGGAGATGACACGTCAGAACAGAGTCAGCACCAAACCGGAACGACAGCCGTCTGTCGAGAAGCCGAGGACCAGGCGAGCCAGATGTCCAGGTCTGCCAACAGCGGACAGGGCTTCGCGAAAACAGACTGGCGGACGGTCCAGGAAGAAGACGAGGTGCTGTCTGAGGTCATTCGATGGGTGCAGGATGGCGAGGTGCATCGGTTTGATTCGAAGGCAAAAGGAGCTTGGAAGCGACGGATTTTTGCCAGAAATTTTGAAAACCTGGAAATCAGAGACCATGTTTTGGGCATCGTGAGGAAACACAATGAAGAAACCAGCTTCAGGATCCTGGTCCCACAGAGCAAGAAGGAAGAAGTTCTTCAGAGTCTGCATGATGATGAAACAGCGGGCCACATGGGTTTCCGGAGGACTCTAGACCGAGTGATGGAGAGGTTCTACTGGCCTGGTGCGTACGGAGAGGTCCGGGACTACTGCAAATCCTGCGTATTGTGTCAGCGCAGGAACCGGTCGTCTACCACAGCAAGAGCACCGCTACAAACTGAACTTGTGAGCCGACCGTTTGAACGTGTGGCAATGGACATCACTGAAATGCCCTGCTCTAGCAGAGGGAACCGCTACGCCCTGGTAATGATGGATTACTTTTCCAAAATGGTAAAAGTCTACCCCATGCAAAACCAAAAGGCTGAGACGGTGGCAGACTGCCTGCTGTTGTGGGTGTACGACTTTGGAGTTCCGGAGCGGCTTCATTCAGACCAAGGGCGGCAGTTTGAGTCGGCCGTTTTCCAGGAACTATGCAGAAGGCTTGGTATCGAAAAGACAAGAACAACACCGTACCACCCAGAGAGCGATGGGATGGTGGAGCGGTTTATGAGGACGCTCAAGGACGTCGTCTCAAAGTTTATCGAGCCACAGGGCTCCGACTGGGATTTAAAAGTCAGAGCAGCGGCTATGGCGTACAACTCATCGAAACACGAAACAACACAATACACTCCTTACTTCCTGGTCCATGGACAGGAAGCCCGTCTTCCCGCGGATGCAAAGTTCCGTCCACCTGAACCACTGGTGCAGGTCCAAAGTTTCTTGGAAGACCGATCACGAACCCTGCAAAAGGCATTCCAGGACGCTCGAACCAAATCGGAAGAAGCAGCCAGGAAGATGAAAGGACGATGCGATAAGAAAGCGCACCTTACTGGTTACAAGGCGGGAGACAAGGTGTGGGTGACAGACCCTACGGCGGCAGCGGGAGGTAAGCCAAAGCTTGGCCTCCCATACAAGGGGCCGGCCACCATCGTTAAATCGTATGGAGAGCAGAGTGTGGTGCACAAGGTGCAAGGGCCAGGAGGCAGAATGACGAATGTGCACCACAACCGGTTGAAACCAGCCTTCTCGAGCAGGATTTTCCGCAGGCGAGGTCGCCAGATAACAGGAGCTGGGACGAAGGACGCTCGACCACCTCAGGGGATGGCTGATGGGTCAGCATCTGCAAATAGTAAACGGAATGAGCATGCCAAGCGGGGGACACCGTGGTGTCGGAGCAGTCGGCTGTCATTTTACGAGTCTCGGGATGATGACAGCCTGGAGGCAGAGGTGGAAGAAAGGGAACTCCTTCAGCCAAGGGCACAGGAAAGTGGAGCTGCGCGGACAGAGCAGGTAGAGGGCAACCGCTATTACAAAACCCGGTCGGGCAGGGTAGTAAGACCACCAGAGCGATTCCAGGCGCTAGCTGTTCAATTCTGCGAATCTGTTTAAAGGAGGGCAAGCCCGGCCACAGGCTAACTCACAGGCGGCGGAGGCAGCATCCCATGGTATACCTCCCAGATGGGGTCCATCTGATCCCAGAGGGCTGCCGGAAGATCAGTGACCTGCTCCCACGGGATACCTTGGAAGTGGTTAAGAAGACGGGGCATCACTCCACGAGCGGCATCAGCGGCAGTAGCGGCACCAGCAATAGCAGCGGCAGCAGCAGTGCAGCAGCGGCGGTAACGTTGGGAGACATTGTCATGTTTGCTGTTCGGTGACTGCTCAGCGCAGCGAGAGTGTTCATGTTGACATGATGTGTGGTTGCCTCGTTTTGTGTCGTTTTGAAAGTGTACCGTTAATGTTACTCAGGAGGACCATCCTGTAGGGGCAATTTCTTTAGGGGGGAGGAGTGTGGCGTAGTTAAGTTATAGCGGCGTAGGCGGTGGCTCCTCGGCCCTTGTGGCGCGGGCCCGACCGCGGGCGTAGGAACCGCGACGCCCGTGGTTTATGGCGCGGCCCCGAATGTCAGGGGCGTGGCCCTGCGCGGCCGGCGCGGTGCTGGGTCGCCGCCGAGAGGCGGTCAGGGTGTTGGAGTCGGTGACCGGGAGCGGACGCAATAAATGAGAGTGCAAGTCTGAGGACTGTTGGCGTCGGAGACAACAACACAACATTTCTAACAAGTCCCGATTTTCCCGACTTTGGGTCATTGACCTGACCTGGAAGGTCAACCAATGACCTAGGACCTTAAAATTGGGTATCATCGGCTTCATCTCGTCACGGGCAACACGCTCGTTTTTTCCGCGAAGCTCTAGCTCGATCAGGGGCCAAACGGCAAGGGGGGGGTCCAACCGACCCCCCCACACACACACATTAGAAGCTGGCAAACGCCGCACACATGCGAGGGTTAAGTCACGTAAAGGATCATATTCAGTCAGCAAGAGGTTGATAAGAATCATTGATATTAATCCTGACTTATTTCAAGCACAAATACCGAAAATATTGTGACGTCATAAGAACAGTCGCTACTTTTTCAGTCATTCAAATGGCTATATTTCAGACAGTTTTAGAGACATTTTGTTAATTTTTGGCATGTGTTAGGCTAGAAAGGGGGTTCTCTAACACATACTCCGTTTTTTTTTTCTCGAAAATTACCCCAATTTAAAAAAACTCAATAAATCTAAATTTTGAGTTAGAAAATCCCTAGATCTACAGATTTTTATATTTGAGAAATTTCGAGATAGCCATTTTATTTGCCATGCTTTTTTATACCTACGGTCCAATATTTTAGTCGCTAAGTTTAAACCCTGATTTTCTGCGATTTTTATCCGTGAACAACTTTTTCGCCAAAAAAACGCCGAACATGACCTCAGTTTGACCTCTATGCCTTACTTTTCTAATCTATCAGTTTTCTATCGTGACTCTCGAACTGCAACAAAGTCCGCCTGCCTTTCATACGACTGACGTACTCCCCCTATGTTCGCAACAGCACTCCACACTGGCCGCAACGTGCTAGGAAGGACATCAACCGTGCAAACAATCCATCAGAAAAAAGGAACCCTCGCCACCACCCGAGAGTGCAACCTTCGTAAAGGTGGGTAAGCTTACGCAAGCGCCATGATGAAGGGACAACCTGTATGGTAGGTGTTAAATGGATAGAAATTTAAATAAACTATTCGTATTATCGTTGATTTTATGATAAAATATTATGCTTGTTTCAATCATGGTAGAAAATAGAGCAAGTCACGATTTTCTTTAGACTTGTGTCTAAAAAGTGAAATGGATATGTAGCATATCATCTGAACTTGCAATCAGCATTAGATTCCTTATTGTTTCCCAGGTTTCATAACATTCTTGCAAAACACTGATGAAAAAGGTTATTACTGTTTTATTGATGTTATACAATATTTCCTAGTTTTCTGTACCCTTTCCTATTTTATGCAACCGCCTTTGTTTCAGGGCCAACTGGATGGGACTTTCATCTTGAGGTGCTCGAAACATCAACGGTTGACTACATTGAACGATTTGAGCTTAGTAAGAAAGATGCAATGAAGAAGAGGACTTACGAACGAATTTCCATTTTTCTGTGAGTCTTTCACAGAAAAATGTGGGTCGTACTGCATTCGAGACCCCTCCCCCTAAATCCCAAACATCCAAGTCTACCAATTTGGCATCTTTATTTCGGCGCGAATCAATCAAACCCTTCGAGAATGGGTTAACGGCCGGAACAACAATGTTTAATAAACACCTGCAATTACACAACAACGACAACGACATACAGCACTGGATAGGGATAAATATGATGCCGTGTTATAAACAAATTGTTGAGTTGAAATAAATGAAATATTATTATAAATGATACAATGACATGTACGTCATCGACCAAGCTGTGGCAGCATTGTACAGCAGTCAGCATGCAACAGATATAAGGTGAGTTTCAGCCAGTCAATGAACCGTGTCAGTCAAATAACCAGCAGGACAGTGGATAATGGATATCACCCAGTATCAATATTCTGGATCCGTTCCGATGGCCTGTGGTGGTGCCGATCGATCCCTGTATGACGCCATCACCCTAGGTCAAAATGATCTTCGAACCTCATATGATATCGTCAGAATGTATTTCATAACAATCAGCTCTTCAGTCAAAACAGACACCTAAGCCTCAAAATAGATTATTACAACTGCATGATAAAACATCTGAACAGTGTTTACTATCAAACATTTTTCAAAGAATCGCATAAACAGCTACCAACAGAAATAAATGCAAGCTTCAACAGTTCTATCCATGTACAGTCTGTCTTAAAAGTACCGCGCAAAGTGGCGGTGGATCCATCAAGCCTGACCGAGAAAGGGTCTGCTTTAATTTGAAAGTCACCGACCATTTGACCTAGGGAATGGACGAGGATGTCAATTGCTTCGGTGACCCAAATTTAGCAGGCCCTTCCTCAGTCAGGCTCGATGGATCCACCGTCACTTTGCGCGGTACTTTTAAGACAGACTGTACACGCAACGAAGTGCATGTGGTCTGGCCAGTGGCCAGTGTCTGACAAGCGCTAATAATTTTTCAATTGCCAATGTCACCGTATTTTGTGAAAATCACAGTTTCTCGTACCCTGACTGATCATTGTTGTAACTTTTTTGCTATTACCCAAACAATACACATTACACAGTGAGTCAAGGCCAGACGCTAAAGGCCGGAACACAGCATTTAAGCTCGCAAATCGCGTCTCGCTTTTCCCATTGCAATACATGGCATATTTTCAGCTCCCAACACGCAGGACGTCTCGCTTTTACGCCGCGAAATCACGCCGGATCCTGCTCGGAAAACGCGAGCGAAACGCAAGCGAAACGCAAGCAAAATCAGTCCGGCGCGATTTGCAAGATGAAAAGTTGAATCTGTTTCAACTTTTCAGCTTCTCTGCTCGCGAAATGCAAGCGTAATAGCGTCAGTAACCATGGAAACCAAATAAAGCACCTTGGCATACGGCAATTTTAACTAAATACTGGCGTGGCCTCCCGCTTTCAGCACATCGGTATTCATTTGATTGACAATTCTATACGTACAACGTATTAAATTGTTTAGTTTTTATATTTCGATGTTTAAAAAAATCTTAAACGTATCTTGTACTGCGGGCAACATAAAATGAGGAATCCGTGGAAAATTTTTCAAAAATCTCCCCTTCGTAAAACATAAATTTGATTAGAAAATGGTAACATTTGCTTCCGTTCGAAAAATTATATGCCTGGCGTGTAGAATTCGGGCTGTAGACAAATTTTGACATTGTGGTCCCATTGCTTAGGATGTTCAGCGTTTTCAAGAGTAATTTCATGTATTTCCGTAAAACCATAACTAGGTACTTTGTAGACAAAACTTTTCAGAGTGGCAATGCGGGGTAATTTTGCCGGTGCTAGTGGAAAAGCCTTGACGGTGCTCTCAGGATCGCTATGCTGGAACGGCCGACTTGATAAGCAGTAGCGGCGAAACACCTTCAATTAAGGGGGGGGGGCACTGCCCATCCTTTCCATGCAATACCCATAGGGCTAATGTTAAAATGGCAAAATCAAGGGGGGCACGGTGCCCCGGTGCCCCCCATCCCGGTTCCGCAACCTATGTACATAATGATAAGGTCGCCGTACCGAGCTGGTTGGGTTTATAGCCGTTGGCGGTGGCATTGTGGCACAGTCTGTCTCCTAGGGGCTCATCAAGACACTGCGCAAAGCAGCACGACAACGTTGCTAGGGATCTGCTCAAACCAAACTGATAGTCACATCTCCAGCTAGTAAACACTATTAACAACTCGTTTGCAGACATCGGAGGCGTATGAGATGTGAGGATTTGAGACTGGGTTGAGTAGTTTCTTTGATTGCTAAGACTTTTTTAATTGAAATTAGTCGATTATTTCCTTACTAGAATAAACAGTTAACCCTCGCCGGACCTATTGGTTTTCTACATACGCGCCGGCCGAGGGGGGTACGACCCCCCCCCCTCCGCCGTTTCGCCCCTGGTGGAGCTAGCGCGTCGCGAAAAAAAAAACGAGCGTGTGCGCCGTTACGAGACACAGAGATTGGTACCCAATTTTAAGGTCCTAGGTCAACCGGTGACCTCTGAGGTCAGGTCAAGTGCCCAAGGTACGGTTCAGTTTTTGGTGAAAAACTTCGCAAAAAACGGCCGCAGAGCCGCGATTTTGGCAGCATCGTGATCGCCTCGATCAGGCGCGTCGAATGATATACTTTTTGTTTGGGTCAGTTCAACTTAGGGTGTTGACCTCAGGTCAAGGTCAGGTCAGCACCCCCAGGTCACGAAGTTGGTCGAAAGAGGTCATGTCGCATGTCATTCGATTCGGCAGGTCTTCCTGAGTCCATTGGTGGCTTTCTTGACTCGCTAGCTCAATTTGCTCAAGAGTTATTGACGAAAAACTAATATGACCTTGATGACGTCATAAATGACGTCACGCAAGGTCAACATTGCAAAAGTGACGCATCTTACCTTGCAAGGAGTGCATCAAATCCTGATTATGTGTACTTAAGATAGTTGGAGATCGTTCCCGGCGCCAGAATAGCAGTTTTCATTTTTCCCCATTGACTTATAATGGAGAGGTCATGAAAATGACCTGACCTCATATGACCTCTAGAAAAAATCCGAGATATACAAGTTGTGAGACTCATAATGGATACTAGATTCTGCAAGTTTTATTTCCCTGTGGCATCTCCTCTGGCAGTGAGGGCGTTGCAAAGTTGCGACATCTGAAGACCGTGCAGAGGTTCACTTATGACGTCATAGGTCAGTGACCTGACCTGACCCAAAAATGCAGTTGGTGTCAAAAGATCCGGCTTGAATCAAAGGTCAGGTATTCCAAGTTTCAGCTCTCTATCGCCAGCGTGCTCGGAGCTATCGCGAAAAAACCTATGGGGGGCGGCACCCGCCCCCCCCCCCTCGGCCGGCGAGGGTTAACGTTTTCTCACCACAAATAAAATGCAAATGTTTGATTTAGCAGTGTATGCTAAGGAAGCGCATTTTCAGTTGTGCAGGAAAATGCTGAAATAAGACCTGAGTCAAAATCATTCGAAGATAAGTCCGACATCGAGTCAGCCTAAAAATGCGTAAGGGACACATGTCATTGCTGGCGCTGAAGCTGACTTGCCCGTAACATAAAATCCAGGCCTCAAATTAACACCGGCCAAATTGCTCTACCCGTACCCCACCGGCCAAATAACCCTGCTAGAGGGGCAATTAAGCCGCTTTGCAAACCTTTGTAGAACGACAAAATTCAGGCATAAGCAGTTGCTCTATCATTTTCAGCTTGCTGTATAAGAAAGTAAAATGAATGCTACACCTGCCAGCCTTGAGAGAGTGCAGAAGTCTGTCGCCAACTTCCCAGCTACAGCGCTTCCTAAAAAAGCGGCCAAATTACCCCATCCTCCCCTACCAAAAACCGAACCCGCTCCTTGGGCCACTTGACCATCGCAGCCACTTGCAAAATCGATATCAACTTTTCATGGAGGAATACGAGAAGGAGGAATAAAAGAGTGGAAGCAATTTTATGTCGGTACTTTAGTTTTGCCAGTTAACTTTAGTTGGCTTAAGGGTTTGGTGCTCATTAGATTAGTATAGCCATCGGCACGCTACCCACCGCGTGGCTACCAAATGGCGAGCATTCACCACTGAACCACTCGAGTAAACGGCCCCACCGTAGATGCACATGTAGAATGACACGTGGCCCGGGTGGCAGACGGGTTAACGGCACAAGGGAGACGTCCCAGCCAACCACTTGTCATATGTAGAGTAAAGTAGCTGATAAAGGGGGAGATAGCGACAGACCCACAGGACCGGGCTCGAGTCTCCACCCCTACATCATCTAAAATCATTGCGATTTAGGCAAGATGAATTTACTTTTCGTGAAGTTTTTTTGACTGTATCTTTGGTAAAACCTTCTCATTTCATGATCTCATGTAATATGGACACATAAACAATCGGTGCACACATCAGTATCTCGCATACACTCACAGACATGCAAACACATATCATTGACCTTGACCTAACTTGACCTGAAATGACCTCAGCAGCAAAAACCTGATCGGATAGTGTGACAAAAAGGTTCTAGCTGGCTTGGCACCACAAAACGGCATCGTCATCGCCCGGTACCTATATGATGAGCAGCGCACTTGATATGCAACGGTGACCCAAAACAACATTTTTTTTAGTTTGACCTGACCTGGAAGGTCCACGACTGACCTGAGAAGGTAAAACTGGGAATCATTGGATTTGTCTCTTCCCAAAGAATCTTTCTGGTCTCTACCGCGAAGCTCTATCTCCAACAGGAACGAAATGGCGCGGGGGAATGGCACACCTCCCCCCCCCCCCCCATGTGCGTTCTAGGATGGGAAAATGGCATGTGCGGGCGAGGGTTAAGTATATCCTGTGATTTGCATAACGCAAAAGGAGAAACATGTAGTTTACTTACGGATGGTAATCGTTGGATTATTAGATTGAATGAATTGCTAGATTAGATTGAACGATAACAGTTGTTAGATTTGCAAGAGCGGTGTTGTATTCGCTTGAAAAACTTCTGAACAACCGATTGTGACCAATGACCATGATACGTGGCAAACAAATACTGACTAAAATAATAAAATTGATTGAACAAATTAAAGTTAAGTTCCAATGTGGCATGATGAACTACCTGTGTGGCATGGCATCAACTGTTTTTTAAGGAATTTCTTACAAAAGAAAGTAACATTTAACCTGTGCTGATTTTAATTAATGATCGAGGAGAAGGTCATTTAAAATACCAAAGCTAAAAAATTTTCATCGAAAGAACGCCGCATAAAATTTTGTCATGAAACAGACGCATGGATATGCTAAGATGTCACGTGCAAAGGTCAAGTGTAATCAATAATCAACGCGTTTCAGCCGCGAGTTGTGAGCGTAAAGCGTTTTCCAAGCGAGACGCGTTTTCGACGCGGGTTGCGAGCTGAATTGCAAGTGAAAACACAGCGGACGAAGCGATTTCCGCGCTTGACGCGAGTTCGACGCGATTTGCAAGCGAGTGCTGTGTTCCGGCCTTAAATATTCGTCAGGAACTAAAATCAACGTTTAGGTGAGTCATTAAGCCGACTTTCTTCGCAGTTCTAAATCGATTTAGATCTAATCCTGTCATGGAAACGTAATTGTATTGCTTCTTGTTTGACTTATGTACTTACTTAACTTCTTCCGTGTCCCCCTGTCTCAAAAGAGGGAATATAAAGCTAGCTAATACATTTCTCCGCTGGGAATTCTAAGCTAAACTTGATGATATTGCCATTTGCAAACGAATGCACAATGCAGATCAGTATGAAGTCCAAATAGAAATGAGGTCACTGTTATCTTATTTTTGCCTGTTTTTTTTTTGTAGGGGATACACTTTATAAACTGGACAAATGTGCGTGATAGAGCCAATCCTTGTAAAGCAACTGATATCTTCAATTTCTCTATTCATAGCCGTTTTCACGACGGGCTCTGCTTTCTGGCGAACGCGCGTAATTTGACCAAATCTACACCAGATCTCTGATACATACAACAAATATCTTCATATCATGATTTTATTTCAGGGTACATACCGAAAACAATGTCTGATAATTTGAAAGATCAGGTACATAAGCAACTATATAGTGCAACCCAACTAATAACTGCTGAGAAACGTAATGAACCTTATTTGACCAAATATGCACCAAATCTGCACCAAATGTCACCACCTATCTTCAATATCTATTATTGTAGAACATCCTATACATAATATTTAACAAACATGCTTTGCCATGACTCAAAGTAATTACGGAGCGAGCCAAGTCTTTCCTTAGATTAACGAAAATTTCTGAGTATGAGCGGGCCGGCCGGCCGTGCGGACGCTTTTGCGAGGCTTATATCTCAGCAACCACTTGACCGATTTACACGCGGTAATTTTTGTTGGGTAGCTTCATTCCTTCTACCAAGTATTGGACTATTCCCGATGCATATAGGTGACCCCTTTATATGCACGTGCCACGTGCAAAACGAAGAGGTGTCAGTTTTGTAATTGTTGCAATATCTCGGTAACTACTTGGCCGATTGCGCTGAAAGTTGGCATGTAGGTAGGCACCCACTAGGCACTGCATATCCATGTGCCAGAGTTGGGGTGCTGCTGCACGTGCGCACGTGCAGGGGTCGTTTCCAGATCTCGAGAACGGCTGGACCGATGCCGCTCAAATTTGGTACACGGTTAGGGACCAGTTAGTAGGGTGCCGTGCACAAGTCAGTTGGGACCCATTTTGCACGTGCGCACGTGCAGGGTGCCGCTCCCAGATCTCGAGAACGGCTGGGCCGATTGTGCTCAAATTTGGCACATCGCTAGAAACCGGTCAGTAGGGTGCCGTGCACAAGTCAGTTGGAAGTACCCCCTCGAAATTTCGCACGTGCAAGACTCACCCCCTCGCTCGCTCCGTTAGTCGCCCCAAAAGGCGCTATACTGGTGTACGAACATAACCCGGCAGTTGCTGGGGTATTTCGCCCCCACCGTTTGCTGGGGGAGGGGGGGGCGTTAAACGCCCCCAGCCGATAGCTCGAGAACCAATAGGCGCAGCGAAACGCACGAGGCGGCAAACGGAAGAACGCGACAGGACGCTTCAGATGAATACTTTAAAGTTGAATGTTGAGGTCACAGGTCGGGTCAAGGTCAGGTCAAACACCTGAAATCGAGCTTTCAGTAGCATGGACTTCAGCCTTCAGGACCTCGCAATGGGCGCCTCTCGTCATAAGCTCTGTCAAGACGGTGCACAATCCTTCATATAAGGCCTACAAGAGTGTCAGCTCCATGTAGGGGTCAGTCAAGGATAGGTCAGGGTCAAGGTCAGGTCAACCGGGTAGGCACATATCCCCGAAAATCAAAACTGATATTCGCAGCCTGTGACACACGTTTTATGGATAGTTTTGGGCGTAGAACACGATGGTGACATTCATTTTACCATATGTGTACGTGTTTGGTTCAAAAAGTTCAATTTAAGAAATGCATGTATCATGGTCGTGAAGTAGTCACGAGAAATTGCCAAGAATATTCAGTTCAAGATTTTGGAAAATGCGGAACGATAATCAAAAATCGAAGATAGCCATTTGATTATTCATGGTATTGGCAGTCTAATGGCGTTTTCGTCATGTTTATATGTCTATTCTGTGATGTTATATGATTTTTTGAACATATGCCGTTTTTGGTCGAAAACTCAGAAATCATGATGTCACTAAAACCTCGATATCTAAAAAAAAAAATCCGACCGATTTTTTTGGAACTTTGTCACAATAAACTTCAATCAATTCCCTACAGGGTCAGGTACCCAAATTTTATGGCGCGGCGAAAAAAGTAGGGGCGTTTAACGCCCCCCCCCCCTCCCCACCCTCCCAGCAACTCGTGGGATAATACATTTTCAATAGCACCATGCTTTTGGTTTATATAAAATCGAGCTATTTGCTACCAAACTTCTAATCTAATCTAACACGACAAAGGCATGCATCGATAGAGTGAGTCGCACATTTCCATCGTTTGTATGGCCACGTAAACATCTGCACCTCGTGCGTCAATAGGCGAAACGGTAACAGACGAGAGCAATGTTTTCCGTACGACTGGGTATACATGTTGCAGGCACTTTAGAAATGCCTGATTTTCCAGGTTTTTTGCAAAAAGCCTAGGCATTTTACAAAATGACTGACTCTCCAGTCATTTTGCAAAATGCCTAGGATTTTACAAAATACCTAGCCATTTTACAAAATGACTGAGCAGCGTGTTGTAGATACGAGTACCTACCTAATTATATACGTTTTGGTAGCGTGTAGGTGAACCGAGGAGTCCAGCATTATGACCAGAGGAGTTTAGCAGTGGGAAGTCCATACCTACCTCTCTCTATTTTGAGAAGTGCAGGCCCGCGACATTTCCAACCCCCACGTCAGCGACGCTGCTGAATTTAAAATGATCGATCTGGAGCGTCAACAAACGACTGGCCCTATGCCGGCCTGTATCTGTAAAACCATTAGAGGTCGCGAGGATTCGATCCCACACACTTAGGCGTTACTGTCTTCTGAAACCAACGCTCTCGTCCTACGCCAAGCGACCTGATGATTCTCCCGATGTGGAGCTTGATATTTTTAGCTGGGACCATGCAAGTAGGTACTCAAAGCTGTCAAACAAAGACACAATCAAACAAAGACTACACTCATTCGTTTACATGTAATTGTACCTACATCAACCGGGCCTGCCTATTGACTAGGGCCGGTCTCCGGCTGGTTTTGTTAGGTCTAGTTTCAGGCAGAACATGAACGGCGTTGATGTACTTGGGAGTTTTTACAGCGTTAACTAAACAATGCTTTATGCCACAGCCGAGTCTGCAACTCAACCTGGTCGTTACTCAGCATTATCGTCATCACAGAGCTTCAAATCGATCAGCTACAGGCTGAACACGTACCTATATGGGTATAGGAAGACGTCCAAAAACTGTTGGCCATAGTATCTGTAGTGGGACGTTCCATGCTGGTCAGGCATTTTGCAAAATGCCTAGTCATTTTGTAAAATGGCTAGCCATTTTGAAAAAAGCCTGGTTGCGTTCAGTCATTTTTCAAACAGCCGTCTTTTTGTAAAATGCCTAGGCATTTTACAAAATGACTGATTTTCTAAAGTGCCTGCAACATACATATGATTTAGGTACTGATCAATACATCTCAACGCTTCAGCAGCTCCGATCATCACTTCGGGAACTTTTGGCACTCTGGGAAAATATTTGTTTTAGCCTTGTGCCTTTCCGACCGAGACGGACAGGTGCTTCTCTCAAACAAGCACATACAATTACAATTATACACACAGTCACAACTAAATAACCGCCATGGGACGTAAATCAGGTAGATGACCCCCGGGGTGTGGTCATGAGTAGAGCGCCATTCAAAATGTCAAACCCTCTGGATGACACGCCATGGTTAGTGGATTGTTGGTTGAGCCTGTGGGGCTAAGCTTGCCGTGTAGCCCCAGGGCCCTAAACATCGGCTTCACTGGGTGACCCGTCTGACCACTCGCTGAACAGTCGGGTAGCTTGGTGATGGTGACCGATCATCTAGACCAGGGGTCGGGCCGCTCGGTGACCGGAGTTCGGGTCGTTCGGTGACCGGTCACCTGGACCAGAGAACAGGTCGCTCGGTGACCGGTCACCTAGACCAGAGGTCAGGTCGCTCGGTGACCGGTCACCTGGACCAGAGGCCAGGTCGCTCGGTGACCCTGACTGCGAAGGGCGGCGGTACCAGGATACCGGCACTGTGACCGGCCACGGCCGCGGGCGGTCCGTCGGCGGTCGGCTCCAGTTGAAACTGATGCAGCAGCCGGCTGAAGAACAGGAATAGCTCCATCCTGGCCACCGGCTCGCCAATACACTGCCTCTTTCCTGGAGACACAGAAAACCGATACAGTGATCGGGAAAACTGATAGAAACACTCCGCTGACAGACGAGCTGAGTACGATACATTATTGCTATTTATCGAGAATCTTATCGACTTTTACTTGTGCCAGGAGAGCGATCCGATCATAACACATCGGGGCCGGGATGCGTTTTGCGCCCCTGTATATTTTCAGTCGACATCTGATGATATAAGGTATGTAGTTGCGCAGTGTAAGTGCCTTGAGCTTGCCCGTGTTTGGAATGCACGTGCCCTGATTACAGCTAATCAGATACAGCATATGCGCTCAAGGTCTGTGTTATGACGACTACTGAAGCATAAACATTAGCATCATGCTCATGAAGCATCAACAGAAAAGGAATAATTTTAAAAATATATTTTCCGAGCAACAGTGGAAGTTTAAGGCCCCACGGAGCGAAGCAGCTTTCTTGTAGACATGTGCTTAGTAATTATGAGTTTTGTTTTACAGATTCTTCTACCAGTATAACGCCTTTTGGGGCGACTAACGGAGCGAGCGAGAGGGTGGGCCTTGCACGTGCGAAATTGCGAGGGGGTACCTCCAACTGACTTGTGCACGGCACCCTACTAACCGGTCTCTAGCGACGTGCCAAATTTGGGCACAATCGGCCCAGTCGTTCTCGAGATCTGGAAGCGGCACCCTGCACGTGCGCACGTGCAAAATGGGTCCCAACTGACTTGTGCACGGCACCCTACTAACCGGTCCCTAACTGTGTGCCAAATTAGAGCGCAATCGGTCGAGCCGTTCTCGAGATCTGGAAACGACCCCTGCACGTGCGCACGTGCAGCAGCACCCCAACTCTGGCACATGGATATGCAGTGCCTAGTGGGTGCCTACCTACATGCCAACTTTCAGCACAATCGGCCAAGTAGTTACCGAGATATTGCAACAATTACAAAACGGACACCTCTTCGTTTTGCACGTGGCACGTGCATAAGGGGTCACCCACATGCATCGGGAATAGTCCAATACTTGGTAGAAGGAATGAAGCTACCCTACAAAAATTACCGCATGTAAATCGGTCAAGTGGTTGCTGAGATATGTCGCAGAATCGTGACCACGGCCGGCCGGCCGGCCGCTCATACTCAGAAATTTCTGTTATTCTACGCTGGTTCTACGTAAGACTCCGCTCGCTTCGCTCGCTCCGTAATCACTTGCTTGAGTTATATCTAACGACCATATGTGTGCGTTTTCGGCCGATGCATAACTGACAAGTGAGTCCCGAAGCTGTTACAGGTCGAGGCGATGCGCATGTTCATTGGCATTGCTTGCATGTTTATGTTTACTGTTGATTCGGTGACCAGTTACGCGCGATGGGCACGCAGCGAACTCATCCGTGATGTGTTATGCTATTAGACACACGCCGGAGTCATTTTGCTGTCCATTACCCCGCATTACCCCAGGGGACAGCAGGAAGACCCCCGGCTCCCGGGTGACCTCACCGGTGCCGAAGGGCAGCAGGTGATCTTCCTTCCTCAGCTGGCCACTGGGCGTCAGAAACCTCTCTGGCCGGAAGGTCTCCGGGTCCTTCCAGTAAGCCGGGTCAGTGTGGATGTGGTGCAGGTCGAATAGCACCATCGAGCCCAGCGGCACTCGGTAGCCTGCAGGTCACCGACAAGGTCATGTTACGGCAGGATAAGATCGCATGTCAGGTCACTGGGTAGCTTGGTAAATATCGTTCGTCAGGGACAAGGTTATGGGTCAAATAACGCAGCTATATTACAAATTATGTAGGCCACGGTAGTAATTCGTACCAGAGGTTTTAGACCAGGGCAACTTCTGCAGACTCGTTCACGCGGTGATCGGTCGCCTTTTCCTGAAAGACACCTGCGGATAGAGCGATACCCAGCACTGGATGGATTACCAGGTGAAAAATAAACTATAGGAATAGATCTACGAACCAGCTGAACTAGCCTGGGCAAGCAATGGAGGGATTGTTGAAGTGCACTAATGATGGAAGGAGACCGCCAACCATGGCGGGCCAAGATATCATCCCTATCGACGTGTGCTTGGAGAATCACGAAGATCAAGGAAGCCGCATAATAGCACGCGGGAACCAATCCCATCAGCCGGTCGGGCGTTAGCGTAAGCCCAGTATGGCTTCCGCTACCGAAAAAGAAAACAACGGTTGTGCGAATAAATGACAGCAAGTTTCTAATGTCCACCGTGATGTCTGCACATCGGTAGGACTGGTTTGAAGTTGAACCAGGGGAGTATGTAATGGGATGATTTCCCACCGACTGTAAAGATCGTTGGGATCAACGGCCAGAAGTATCCATTATGAGATGCAAACATGGAGAATGCCTAACATGGATGTAATTATATGGATCACTTTTACATCAACAAACTAATGACATATGATTATCTATGAAAATAATGCACATATGCAAAAACAGCCATAAAGATATTGACGTCACTCGTTGGTAATATTTTGAATGAGAGAGAGAGAGAGAGAGAGAGAGAGAGAGAGAGAGAGAGAGAGAGAGAGAGAGAGAGAGAGAGAGAGAGAGAGAGAGAGAGAGAGAGAGAGAGAGAGAGAGCAAGAGAGAGAGAGAGAGAGAGAGAGAGAGAGCAAGAGAGAGAGAGAGAGAGAGAGAGAGAGAGAGAGAGAGAGAGAGAGAGAGAGAGAGAGAGAGAGAGAGAGAGAGAGAGAGAGAGGAAACAGAGAGAGGCAAACGGAGACTGAGAAGAAGACATGGAGACAGATGAACGGAGAAAGAAGAGAGACAAAAGCAGAGAGCGATAAATTAATATTGTTAAGCAGCTTTGCTTACCGGCAATGCTGGTTTCGGTGAAGGACGCGTTGTGGGCGAGAGCCACGGGTGTGACTGTGGCGAGACGAGCTACCTCGTTCAGTGTCGCCTCCGTGTACGGCAGGCTGGAGACAAAACAGGACGTCACTGCACTGTTCAAATTGGCGTCAACGGGCTATCACTCCTTGAAAGGACTATTCCGTCTTGATGGTAAGGATTACAACCGAGAAAGTAATTGCAACCATGAAACCATTCTACACACAAAAAAATATTAACACCGTTAGCGGTGTAATTGCACAGTACATATCTGAGCACTTGAGGAAAGTTAATTTAGTCCCTTCACCGCTTAAATTACTCGCGCTTCTAAATGAACAGCAGGAAGAAAGTAATAGAACACTGTTAGGAGGGCTGGGTGTTTTACTACATGTAGTAAAACACCCAACCCTCCTAACAGTGTTCTATTACCTTCTTCCTGGTGTTCATTTAGAAGCGCGAGTAATTTAAGCGGGGAAGGGACTAAATTAACTTTCCTCAAGTGCTCAGATATAACTGTGCAATTACACCGCTAACGGTGTTAATATTTTTTGTGTGTATGGCGTGTCAGGGCGGTATAGTAATGTATATGGTCCGATCATCGTCGTCCGATCTATAGCATGATCAATAACGATGTGACGTGGCCTCTGGTAGCATCGTAACGCTCTCGACTGGGGATAGGCATGGTTACGACCGTTGCAAACCATGCATTTCCAACAAATAAGAAGCACTAGGGATATAAAACAACAATGAAATTAAAAATGATCATGCGCCATTCCAAATTTTTAGTTGCTATCCCGCATTGACATTTGCTCATATGTACACATATAGCCAAAAACATCAAACGTCGGCTCAAATTTCGCACGCTCTGAGGCGCGCCGGTCAGCGGCCCTCTGAGGTATAGAGGCCCTCTCCCCAGAGCTGCCTCTATGTAAACAGAGTGTCCACCCCACCCGGGCCAGGCCGGGCCGCCGAGACAGTGCAGCCGCCGTGCCGGGGTGACGATGCACAGCAATCACCGACTGCTTATAAATGGGCGCCCCGCTCCGGCAGTGTCTGGGACTGCTCGTCCATGTGCCAGTACTCGGATTTGGGCCTCAACTTCTGGGAACGGTCACTTCGACATTCCATTCGTCAGGCGTGGTAGCTGAGCTGCAGTTGCATTACTGTTCATGTAAACAGGCTGGTTCATTGACGTTAAAAGCTAATTAGACCAGATAAGGGCAGCTGTTATACACAAGCACCGGGTGCCCTTCGCGACTAAAAACAACATCGGGTCAAAGTCTGTTAAAATGAATGAATACAGTGACTAGTGATTGACGAAACAAAAGGGGAATAAATTAATTCAAGAAGATTTAAGCTTAAATGACTAGTTTGACGCCGAATGTCAGCATTTATAAACCGCAAGATATTGCATCGTGAAGAGAGATCAATCAATAACAGCATAAACGTGCAAAACAGCCGATAATTTTTTCCGGCGTGTGCATCGATGAGGTTCATATGAGAGTAAATAGCCAGCTTAACCCTCGCGGGCCCGGGGGGGGGCGTTTTTCGCCCCCCCCCCCCCTGGCGAATATTTGCGATAACTCCCGAACGCTTAGGGATAGGAAGGCGAAACTTTCAGTACCTTTTCTCCCATCAATTTGACATCTTCTGAAGTAAAAAATTTGGACCTAGCCCCCTTGATGACGTCACAAGGTCCATTTTTCTACACCCCTGCACGGCAAACTTCGGCGTCACAGACGCAAACTTCAAATAGCTGCTAAAAATAGAGTTTTAGAGATAAAGACAAATTACGAGCACGGCTGTGTAGCGTTTGACCTAGAGAAAAATAGAAAAAATAGTTTTGGTGACCTGAGGTCAGAGGTCAGGTCAACGACCCCGAAATGTGGTTTTAGTTTTTCGCAAATAACTTCGACAAAAATGGTCCTAGAGCTACGGCAGTGGTACCATCGCATTCGCCTTGTCAAGCCGCGTCGAATGATATATATTTTGTTCGGATAAGGTCAAGTTTCATGTTGACCTCATGTGACCTCGAATGACCTCTGGTTGACCTTGACACATGAAAGGTCGTTTATGATGGAGTTGTACCCGCTGATCACGAATCTGGCATCTATTTTCCTCTAAGCCTTCATTTAGAGCTTCCGGATGGCAAAATTGTCTTATTTATTATTACGAGCGAGCGAGCGCAGCGAGCGAAGTGAGTCTTTTCAATATAACGGAAAATCTCAGTATGAGCGGCCCGGCCCGGCCCGGCCCGGCCCGGCCCGGCCCGGCCCGGCCCGGCCTGTAACGCTTTTGAGAGGCTTATATCTCAGCAACCGCTGGACCGATTGGCCTGCGGTCTTTTTTGTTGGGTAGCCCCATCCCTTCTACCCCGTAATTGACTACTTTTGATACATCTCAGTGACCGTCGTGGCACGTGCCACGTGAAAAGTCAAGGGTGTTCAAGCTGTTTTGCAAAAGTAGTGATTTTGAGAGGCTCATATCTCAGCAGCCGTTTGGGCGATTGACTTGCGGTAATTTTTGTAGGGTAGCAGCATCCCTTCTACCCAATATAGGATACTCTCGATGCATGTGGGTCACCCCCAGCGCACGTGCAAAATGCAACAATAAGAGGTGCCAAATTTGTTCCCATTTCAGTAACTCGGTAATTACTGGGGCGATTTCGCTGAAACTTGGCATACAGGTAGGCACCCACCAGGCAATGCATTCCCATGTGTTGCGGTTAGGGTGCTACTGCACGTGCGCACGTGCAGGGGGCGTTTCCAGATCTCGAGAACGGCTGGGCCGATTGCGCTCAAATTTGGTACACGGTTGGGGACCAGTTAGTAGGGTGCCGTGCAAAAGCCATTTTGGGCCCCGTTTGCACGTGCGCACGTGCAGAATGCCGCTTCCAAATCTCAGGAACGGCTGGGCCGATTGCGTTCAAATTTGGCACACCGCTAGCGACCGGTTAGAAGGGTGCTTTGCGCAAGCCCGCTGGATGTACCCTCTCGCCCTTCCGCACGTGCAGGGCTCACTATCTCGCTCGCTCGTTCTTCGCCCAAAAGGCGTTTTACTGGTTACTAACTTGAATCAGTGAAATAGCCTCTAGCAGGGATACTCTTCTGTGACCTTGACCTTTCAGCAGCCTTGTATCGTAAGATGAACCACAAATAGGGAGCTGATAAGCCTCAAAACATTTCAAAACATCTTGGAAGTTAGCACGCAAGATGTGCGAAAAAGTGCCAAGTTTGAGGTCAATTTTGAGCGTGACCTTGACCTTGACCTTTGATTTGGAGCACATTTTCAGAATCCTCAGATTCTTTTCTTTCGTTTGACATCCAATTTTGCCGGTTTGATGCAGCCTGCCGTCCTCTAGAAGGCTTACTTTGAGATCACTACACATGTGCCGGTTTTGGCCTTTGACCTTGACCTCTGACCTTGAAAATTGACCTGATGTCAAAAATTTTAGGTGCATTAGAATCGTCTCGTAAGGACCTTTCGTTTGGTATCGCTTTCGTTTCCGTAGCTCCCTTATTTACGGAGTTAGACAGGGGGGGCGAAAAACGCCCCCCCCCCCCCGGGCTGCGGTGGTTGGGATTACCCCGCGGGCCCGGCCGGGTTAAAGGTAGTGTGCCACCTTTGAAAGATTTCCCATTTTATTTTTCCTAGGATAAGAAGCTTCTGTTTTTACCTAATATCGCAAAAAAATCAAAAATGGGCCTGGAATAGTGCCTTTTTCGCCTACAAGTTTATCGGTTTTTTGATATGTATAACAACTGTAGTGGGCTCACCTGCAAACAGGCGTCGGCAACAATCGCGAATGCGGCGCACATGTGACAATAAGCAAAGGTCATTATAGAGTTACGACGTACGGGAATGAGTTATCAGCTGTCTAATCGTAGACACCACAATGTCGAGCCTTAAACTGTAAGCCTGTATTGGTAGGTATTGTTTCTTTTATTTGGCTGTCGAACATTATTTATGGTTTGAAATATGATTTTATGTAAAATAATTGATATGAAAAAGCCGTCTCTTAAGTTATGACCCCATTTCACCACACGCAAGTGGCAGAAATGACAATGATCAGCTGACGCATTTTTCTTGGCCGAAGTCAGAGCGCGCAGCCCGACGCACCACCACCGCACCACAAAGTATGAGCAGAAGCCGCGTCCAAAGCCAGGGCCCCGGTAACGTGAGGTAGCCGAGTCGGGGCAGCGTGCGCTGACCCAAGCCGGGGCCGCAGCTTTGGGCGCGGTCTACCGCATCCCCGCGGGCAGCCCCGGGCTATCACATGACACCGGGAGGACGCGCGGCCCCGTCTTGGGTCAGCACACGCTGCCCCGACTCGGCTACCTCACGTTACCGGGGCCCTGGCTTTGGGCGCGGTCTACCGCACCACCTAACAGGCGTGTTCGAAACCGTAGGAGATGACGATGAACGGGTTTATCGAAACTTGATTGGATGAGCATATCGGTAATAGCGATTTCAGTGTGTGCATTTATTGTTCATAGTGGTGTGAAATGTGGTTGGGGTACGACCGACAACCCGTCGGGGCGAATTTCGCACTGGGGTACTCAAAATTTGAAGAATTTAAGACGTTTCCATGAGTTTTGAAGGTATGGATAAGTTCTAAAAATCCGGTTCTCCTTATCTGGGCCATTAACTCCATACGGTCCAGGAAAGCTGGCACACTACCTTTAAGTCATATCATTGTTATTCATCACAAGCCAATGCGACCTCAGAGCAACCTCCCATCACACCCCCATGACGATCCTCCTAAATCTTGTGATGACATATTCATTGGATCTACTTTCCCCTCTGGAGATGTCAAGTTTGAATGATTGCAGTGTCCCTACAGCTAAATATTTACAGTCCATACCAGCTAGATAGATGCATCCACGAAAACTCGTTCGGGTAGCAAATGTACATAAAGCTGTAAAGCTGAGCACCTACAGTAGTCCTCTCAGTTCAGTTGGTTATTTTTCAGACGGTATTGTCAAGTAATGAACGACAGCGACGGAAAGGTATACGCTTTTCGATAGTGAGGACATGACAGCAAAGCACTTCCGATCATAGTGATGTGAGTCAATCAATGCTGTGCTGGAAACCAAACACCAAGGAAGCTGTATGCCGCAATTAGCTAGAATGACCAAAATACCTTACATAAAGAGATATCATGATGTATGACCTGTAGGTACTGATGTAAATCCATGGAGCCGATCGAACTGTACTTCACACTGGTCTTTACGCTGAACGCTCCTCACCTGGCTTGGTGCTCCAGCGACGGCAGGCGGTGACGCCCCACGACGGCGTCCAGCTCGCGCTGTACCCTGCGCTGCACCTCCGGCTCCCGCACCATGAACAGCAGCGCCCACGATAGCGAGCTGGCCGTCGTCTCCGAGCCGGCGATGAACAGGTCCATCAGGATGAACACCAGGTTCAGCTCGGCGGCCCGGTCGCCCTCGTGCTCGGCCAGGTAGCGCGTGACGAGGTCGGCGTCGCTGCCCTCCCCTCCGCCGGCCACCTTGACGCGGTGCTCATCCAGCAGCTCGTCAAAGAGCGTCATCAGTGCGTCGCGATGGTCGCGCACGGCGGCGAATCCCGACCAGCGCGGGCTGACGAAGCGCAGCCACGGCGCCAAGTTGACGGGACACAGCGGGCCACAGCGCTGCACGAACTCGCGCACCAGGCCGAACATGCGCTGCATGCGAGCGTCCTGCAACCGGTACCTGGTGACCGGTGAGGTCAAGTCAGCGCAGGTCAGCTCAGGGGGCCACTATGAATGTCAGAGTGTGATAGACAGCGTTAGAATTAGCAGAAGTTGGCGATATGGGATAAATGAAATCCTTGAATCCAGTTACGTAACGGTGGCCTGACGGCAGCATCACAATGATCCAAACACGGTAATAATCATACAAAAGCCAAGCAAATTCAGAACGGTTTCACAGTCAACACTGCGTGTAAATCCCAAACAAAGCGTGTGCTGCCTTCTGGTTATGGTAAGTTATCCTAGTTATAGCTTTCTTTCATGGCAAATGAAGGTAATGGATAAAGCGTTGTCAGAGAACCGTCAAAGTCAGGCCTTCCGCCTTTGGGCTGCGAAAAAAGATACCGGCATAGGTACCCCTGACAGTTTTCTTACGGACATAACAGCCACCACGCCATTTTGACAACCATTCTAGTATTTGTTGATGAATTTCCGATTCTTATCTTATAGGAGTATCACCATGTCCGGACCGACCAGAAACATTCACTGTTAAGCATTTCAAAATCAGTGCCACGAAAAAAAACGAAAGAAGGCTTTCATCCTCCCTTTATCCAACGCTATGAAAAACTGCATTAAATTTCGCTGGAAATCAACATTGTGTAACAAGGTGACATCACGCAAGATTACAAATTGCGATTAAACTTAGCCAGCCAGCAAATTGGATTTCCATTTTATTATCATCATTGTTGGAAAGGCCTAACAAAAACTTGGGAAATGTTTTTTTGCAATATATGTAACTGATCATAAAATCCAGGAACTGATCCACAAAAAGCATATAACTGATTCATATGAAATAAATACGTCTTTTACTAAAATGTATATATGTATTTTACGCTGCTGTAGGAATTATGCAATATTATTTGTTACAATATTTATTTGTTATTGCATCAGAAATGTAAACCATTCCGGTTTCTGGAACAACTAACTCAACAGCTCCATTTACAGTGCTTACTACGGCAAGCTTCTTGACGGGTAAAATAATAATCCAACTAAAAGCGAGCGTAGCGGGGCGGCGCGGACGCATTGACCGTGCACAAGAGCATTAGCGGTGATGTGGAGGGAAACTGCGGACTTAACCCTCGCCGGACCTATTGGTTTTCTACATACGCGCCGGCCGAGGGGGGGGGGTACGACCCCCCCTCGCCGTTTCGCCCCTGGTAGAGCTAGCGCGTCGCGGAAAAAACGAGCGTGTGCGCCGTTACGAGACGCAGAGATCGGTATCCGATTTTAAGGTCCTAGGTCAACCGGTGACCTCTGAGGTCAGGTCAAGTGCCCCAGGGTACGGTTCAGTTTTTGGTGAATAACTTCGCAAAAAACGGCAGCAGAGCCGCGATTTTGGCAGCATCGTGTTCGCCTTGCTCAGGCGCGTCGAATGATATACTTTTTGTTCGGGTCAGGTCAACTTAGGGTGTTGACCTCAGGTCAAGGTCAGGTCAGCACCCCCAGGTCACGAAGTTGGTCGGAAGAGGTCATGTCGCATATCATTCGATTCGGCAGGTCTTCCTGAGTCCATTGGTGGCTTTCCCGACTCGCTAGCTCAATTTGATCGGGAGTTATTGACGAAAAACTAATATGACCTTGATGACGTCATAAATGACGTCACAGAAGGTCAACATTGCAAAAGTGACGCATCTAACCTTGCAAAGAGTGCATCAAATCACGATTCTGTGTGCTTGAGATAGTTGGAGATCGTTCCCGGCGCCAGAATAGCAGTTTAAATTTTTCCCCATTGACTTATAATGGTGAGGTCACGAAAATGACCTGACCTCATATGAACTTTAGGAAAAATCCGAGATATACAAGTTGTGAGACTCATAATGGATACTAGATCCTGAAAGTTTCATTTCCCTGTGACATCTCCTCTGGCAGTGAGGGCGTTGCGAAGTTGCGACATCTGAAGACCGTGCAGAGGTTCACTTATGACGTCATAGGTCAGTGACCTGACCTGACCCAAAAATGCGGTTGGTGTCAAAAGATGCGGCTTGGATCAAAGGTCAGGTATGCCAAGTTTCAGCTCTCTATCACCAGCGTGTTCGGAGCTATCACGAAAAAAACCAATGGGGGGGGGCGGCACCCGCCCCCCCCCCCTCCCCGGCCGGCGAGGGTTAATAGGTCCAATGACGTGCCTGGTGTGCTGATCAGGTAGTGATCACCCTGCGGCACACGGTCCGGTCGCCTCCGACAGCCCCCCCCCCCTCCTCCCCCTCCCGTCCGACATCCGAGCCCCGGGGTGGGGCAGAGGGAGGCGGGGAGGGAGAGGGAGGCGGCCGGCCTCCTCCCCGGGCCATTGCGAAAGTGGCGCGCACTCCTCATGGCCGCAGCGGCAGTAGTCCAGACTGTTTGCAATGAATGAGGCGCCAGGAGAAGAGATATTTACGATCCCGACTGACCTCGTGCAAACGACTTGAACCGCTCGGGCACGGCGCCGCCGCCCTGGGATGGGCCATGTGTCTCAGAGGTCTGCACTGTGCACTGAGCAGTGGGCACTAGTGGTGGGGTGATGGGCAGGAGCGGAGGGCTGTTGTGACCTCTGGACTGCGGGCTGAGCAGTGTCGAATTAGCCTGAGTCGTGTTGTTATGCGCGGTGTGTGTGGTTAATGGTGTGTATCAGGAGTATGCGAGATTGTTGATGATGCATTTGCTTTCACCCCTAAGTCAAAGAAAAGCATATTGACTTGGAGTTATACAGCGGAAGGAAATACCACGGAATAATTATGCCGTATTACGTAAGCTTAATAACTCAGGCTGCAAAGACACATTATAGATCGCTAAGACTAGCCGTGCACGCCGACAACACGACGATGAGGGAGAGCGAATAAAAGGTGGCAGGTAAATATATTAAAATAGCCATCAGATAGCCTCACGTGTCATTATGTTGTCTCACCCATCACGTTCTGATGTGTAACAAGGTTTGCTTAAGCTTTATACAGGATACGTCTGTTGAAAATATGACTGAATGAAATGAGAAATAAATAGGGTAGTGTGGGGTAATTTGAACATATTTTTACGTCTTCTCCTTTGTACCAAATTCCAGCTCAACCCTGGATGAAGAAAAACTGCTTCAGTAGCGCAAGTGTCACTTGCTTTCACCATGCAAGCCTCATTTTTGGACGAGCCGAGCATACCTTGAATAGCATAGCCTCACTTCTCCACCAAGTCACGGTGTGTTCGAATCGCCCCACCGTGGGGTAATTTGAACATACTGACTTTACGTGCCATAAAAACGATAATCTCGCCAGCACCCGATGTTGTTTGATGCATAAACAAATTGGCAGAACAATTCTAAACATACCTTCATTTGAAAAATCAACACAACAACAAAAATAACAGTTGCAGAGTATCAATATCTGCACGCTGCACACCGGTCAGTTGACAGAATTCGCCTCTCTTCAATTAATAGAACGTCTATCATTTTTGTTCGATAAAAACTCTCCCAACCTTACTGCATCTGTTATAGTGGTGCCAATCGAAACCTGGACACTTGGAGTTCTGATTTTGTCCAATGTCCAATTCGGAATTGGTTGGACAAAGGTAGCAGACTGGACAGCATTGGACGATGGCTTGCTACACTGCAGCGCTTTTTATAAAGTAATCGTGCATAGCATTGATTGGCGAATGGAAAGCTTGTTAAGCTCTCAATATAATGAACACTTTTCGGCTGATAAAATTACATTATAAGCAATTTAAATGACAGTTTTGAGTGTTGATTATTGCGTAATTTTTGGACATATTTGGACAAATGGCTGACTTTAACATTTTTGAACGGAAATCGACTAAAATGCCGGACATTAGACGGATATTAGGCGTAAATGTTATAAAACTGGCATCACTAATCTGCTACTGCTTTGGGTCGAAAATATTGGGAAAAAAACTGGTAGCGTTGTTTTTTTCGGAGCTATCCCTGCCTTCACTGAAATTCGCACACTTTGTTCAAATTACCCCACGCTAAAAGTTATTTTGCCATATCTAAAAACAGGTTTCAAAAGCAAGTTTCTTGGATTGAAGGCACTGATAAGGTCATTGTACAACAAAAGCCGTTGCGTATTAGGCGCTAGCAATGCAAGATTTTGCGCTGCAATGAAGTTGCAATGACGTGTTTTTAGACGTTTTTTCTTGCGAAATTGATTTTTTACAGTGTGCGTCAACATCTTCATTCCCTGAAACTTTAAACCCCGTTCATATGATAGCCCTTTTAGTTACGATAATTTCCCTCATTGGTCTTATTGTCATGCCACCTATGGATTTTCCGTAATTTTGTGTTTTTCACACTATGTTCAAATTGCCCCACATGTTCAAATTACCCCACCCTACCCTACATCGCAAATGCGGTGTTCGAGCAGTATGTCTTTTCCACAAAATTGTAGTGTAGCTTGGTAGAATAACTTATCATGCCTGATGATGTTAAGGCTGAAACAGACTCTTTCCGCGTTCAGGAAATCGCATGCGAGAGCCTATTCAAATACATTAGTTTCCTCTCGCATCGATCGCACGCATCTCTCGCACTACCCGCATCAGGAAATCGTATCTCCCTGACAGTCTTCCCGCGTCGACGCCTCGCTCGCATCGCCCGCATCACCCGCAAGCATCGCCCGCACCTCTCGCTCGCATCGCCCGCAGCGACATCTTTTCGGGATGCGAGAGAGTTGAAGTTCAGTCAACTTTTCCGTGCGGGCGATGCGATTTTGCAGAGGGCAGCACGTCCGCCATCTTGGAATGTAAACAAACTTGACCTTGGCAATTTACATTGGTGGATGCGATTGATGCTAGTGCAGATTTTCCATGTCTTAGGTCTGATTAGCACTTAATTGGGCATAGGTTAATGCCATTTTCTAAAGACATTCGTAATTCTATAAATTTAGCCGTTCTTCGTGCGTCAACATCTGCAAAATGATTGAAAGAAGATCTACCTGACAGAATCAACTACCAGCTACCTACCTCCTCAACCTAGCCAAAAGTAGGTAAGTACCAAAGTAACCCTAGCTATTGATTATCTTCGTTATTAATAAAGATAATAATCACTTGATCTTTTTGATTGCAGGATGAAGTTTCCGTTGTCTTTAGCTACACTAAACTTCAGGAAAATCGCTAGTGCTAACCGTTGCTGGCCTACTTGAAATAGATAAAAAACACCTTCTAGAAAGGGTTTTGCATAGCCTTTGCTGCCTTTTGCGATAAATTCCGCCAAAATGATAATAGAATTGGTCTCAAATTAAGCCATGATTGCACATTAAAGAGCTCTCTTAGTCTCTTGAATCAAAGGAAGGAAACTCATTTCATGTAGGAAGATACGGAGACAATTGACATGAAAACTGGGCTTCTGTCAAAAGAATGGGACGGGTGCTGAATCTATATTATATGTCCATCTTCCACCTGCTCCTGGCTTCTTCCCATCCCCTTCTCCCCAAGGTCAGCACCATTTCTTTGTTTTTCTGTCCCCTCTTTCCTCTTTTTGTTTTGTTTTCCTCTGATAGCCATAACAATATTTTCTTAATCTCATAAGTTTATGAGTTATTAATACCTACGATTTTTCAGAACGAACATTGTTTCTATTACCGACAAACCTTTCAGATCATGCTGATTGCTGCCTATACTCAAACGCACTTTACCGTGAATGCCATTTCATTGGCGAGTGACCAAACTTTGCTTGATTGGGCAATCGTCTATACTGTCTAGCTAGGTACTTATTCGTGATCTTATCAACCTGTGGGTTTCCATTGTTCCAGCACGTTCCAGCACTCGTATCAGCCCACAACCGCTGTCCACAACAGCCCGACTGTCACCACACCGCCAGTTCCGGACGAGTCGGTGGACGGTGGTGACTGCCCAGTGCCCACGACCCACGTTACTCAGGGACTAACGAGTAGAGAAGCATCCTGGAATCGGAGGGAGGGGCAGTATTCCGCTGGCGATGCTTCTGCGACTGACCCCACGGGGAACGACCAGACTACCTTGACAACCGTCAACGCAGACAACGCGAACATCACTACTAGACGCACCTCCTTCATCCAAGCAAACATCACCAGCCTAGCAGCAGCCTTTAACCCGCGCCGAGCCGGTGCTCGGCGCCAACCGCGCCGTGCCCGGGGATCTGTGGACACCCACCCCTTCTAGCTCGGCTCTTGGGTAGCCTAAGGATATGTGGTTAGTGGCTTTCAATGGAGCGTCCAAAACCAAGACGATAATACATCGGTCATTTTTTAAAGTCAAGTCGAAGTTCAGGTCACCAGAGGTTATCAAAGGTAAAATGTTGCATATTTCGACATTTTCGAAACACCGGTGCAAAATTTGGGAACCAAGAGAACTTCAGCGCCACGGAAAAGCGCATTCGATCATAGCCATTTTGACATTGTTTTGTGATAAGGTCTCAAATTTGACGCAGGATCAAGGATTTAGATCATAGAGGACAAATCTTGACTTAGCCGTTTTAAGGAAAACCCCTTTTCTGTTACTTCTCCTGACTCGATAAAATTTGTAATGACAGCATCGCGCTCCTCTCGTCGAGACGCGTCGAATCAACTGTAATTTGACCTCAGGTAAAGGTCATAACCTAACCGGAAGAGATCATCATCTGACTAATACCTGACAGCTCATGACCTTGAACTGAGGCCAACTTTTCAAAATGACACTTCTCGTCGAGAGGAATCGAATTAAAAATGTTTAAAGCTATTTTAGGAGTTCTGGCCTCTGTAGGCTAAGCTAATGATCGGAAGTTGACCTTGGTCATTACCGCATACCGGAGCAAGCGCTGAAAGGGCTATCAAATAGGCAGTGCGCTTTTCCATCGTGCTGTAGCTCTATTGGTTTCCGAGTGATGCTTTGTTTTCTAATGTTGAAATAGCAACATTTTATCTTTGATGACCTCTCGTGACCCCGGTTGATCTATTTAACCTAAAAAATGGCTTCAATGACTTCGTCATGATTTTTGACGTTATTTGGAATGCCACTTACCGCTTCGTGGGCCAGGAATCAAGTAAGACGGGTCATGTTCGGTCCCCCAGGGCCCGGCGCTATTGGTGCCGAGCAACGGCCCGGCGCAAGATGTCAGATCTTGTTAGAACAATGCGGTTGAATTTGGACTACAATAAACCAACACATAGTACGATATACGTTTGTAGTTTGCCGTCAAAAGGTGAGGCGTCGCTGCAAAACTCAGGGCAGAGCTTTCGAGGCTGGAGGGAAATACTTAAGCCGTTTGACCTGCGTAATTGATTTATCCAGCTGACATGCATCGACAGAAGGACGGCTTGACCCCTGCATGACAATTTATGGTCGTGCAGTTACTCGACATACCTACATATTAGCATTAGCTATTGTTCGACATATTTTAATATTCGCTGATCATTCAAACTTGTTGAAAAAACGTGACGTGCTGGATGGCTGGAGGAGCTTATCCTACCAAGTACCATTTTATGTAGAATATTACAGTACTACGACCATTTGATCTTTGACTAGACCGCAAGAGGTAACCGGATGTCATAAGATATTGGTGCCTGCCGCTGTATCTCATGATAATGCTGAGCGCACACGGTATTTTTTTCTCACGAAACACTCGTTCAGTTGTGAGTGAAGCGTTGAGGGGTGCTGCTCAACTCTACCGCTTTGTATTTGGAAAACCAATTAGGCTGGCGAGGGACACCTTACCCACTGCCATAGCTTTCCATCACTTATTCTCAATTTTTAGACATAAGTAACAATTAACAAGTGTCTGTAGTCATCGAATAATAAACATGAGAACATTGCATGAAAACAAATTTTCACACAAATTTAGATACCTACTTGTACTTCTTCTACATCGATGCCTTGAGTTCCCTCTCGCACGGACAGTGCGATCGATGCGAGAAGTCGATGCGAGAACTGCGGGTGATGCGGACGAGCGAGTCGTGCGAGAAGTGCTTGCGGGACATACGATTTTCAGATCCGAGTCGTGCGAGCGATGCGAGCGAGCGATTGATGCGGAAAGAGTCTGTTTCAGCCTTTACAACCTCTTACAACAATCAGCAATCGGCATGTTCTGCATGCGTACCTGCGCCCAGCAATCAGTCGCCAGATGACGTTGAAGGCCGGTAGCATGAACAGACCGTCCACGTTCACGTCCTTCCCCCCGGATGACGTCAGCTGCTGGGCCAGCTCCTGCGCCGCAGAAAAGCAACGCATTATTATACCGGGTTTGTCATACAACAGACAGGCACACACACTTCCCAACATGTTCCTTACATGTTGGCCGTACCACCAGCATATTGATGTTTCGTGGTAAAAACTGCGCTCCAAAGTCCGTCTTTCACACCACTGGAATGTTTACGCATTCGTGATCTGTGCCTTTACTACAGCATTCGACCCAGTGCGGACGGGACGACCAAACTGACGGCTTTTTGCTTACTCTGTGACTAGGTTGCGAGAAAAGCCCGTTTGATGGCGTGACAAGACGACAGTGTTTATTAGTGGCGACGATTGTGGTCCGCGGTCTAACAGCCGAAACGTCACACACTTCTTCTCTGGTTCGTTTATCAGCGCATATCTCGGAAAGGCGCGTTGACACACAGGCGGCTTGGCTGCCAGTGGAAAATTTGAAACGAAGCTGAACTTATGAATGAATGCATCTGAACAAACTGGAAGCTAGCACCGGTCAAAATAATGAATAAGCGACTGAAAATGTCCACGAAGACATAACACTCGCCCGTATTGGCCTTTTTACGGCGTCTTTGGCCAAATCCGCACCAAATCTGCACCTAATCTGTACCAAGTGTGCACCAGATGGCCGTCGTAAAACGGCTAAGCTCCTATTAATCTTGATCAAAGACGATGCATTCATGCAATTAGGGTAGGTCGGGTTGGGTCAGGTCAGGTCAAACAGTAGGCGTCCTGCCGGCTGCCAGCTGTCAGCTGCCACCGACACTTAAATTATCTGTTTGTGACCATGATAACCGCGACTGGCCACTAATCACGCTTCCAGTGGCAGAACATCCAATACATTGTCAGATAAAATACAGATAACATAAAATACCTATGCAATACAAAACTCCAGATAGCAACATAACGGACTTCCACTTTACATCAGTATGGCTCCGAGCCCAACGCTACCGCATCCTTCCATTGCTAAAGTGTTCTGCAAACGTCTAAAGCGTTGCCATGGGGTGTATTTCCAATAGGAGCAGTCTACGATATGGGCAAACAGCTGTGGCCCTGTTGATCAGAGACAGGGAGTGCTCATGATCTGCTGGACTGGACGGCGTGGGGGACACTCCTATTTACGAGAACGAAGGACAGAAAGCGCCCCTTCTCCAGTCATCTAAAGACAGAATTATCTCCCATGTACTATGTAGTGTGCTTTAGAGGTCAGGGCTTCTGCTGCCTGCTCTGTTGGACGGAGGACAGGCTTACTATGACAGCAATGTATAGACATTGCTAGTCTAGTAAGCAAAGAATAGGTTCATACAGCAGGTTTGCTTTGGCAGAGCGCAACGGGGTCCCTCCAGCCATGACAGTAACACTCGCAGCTTCTGCTCGGTCGTTTGTAGGACGTGCATGAAGTCCTTCCAACAGCTCGCCTGCGGTGGCGCCGGAAAACATCATCCCGCTTACGTTTACGACCAGGTTGTCCTTGCAGCCTGCACTGCGCAATGAACTGAAGCAGCTGGAGCCATTCAAAGGTCAACGTTCGTGGCCGGCCCGCGGGGCCCCCGGCCGAAATTCTGAGTTATGAGTCTGACCAGCGCGCTGGGAATAGACTAACCGCTGGGCCGTCAGCCGGCGGTCCATGAGAATGAGGTTAGGGGAGGGGAGGGAGCTGAGGCACCAACCTGATACTCCCGAGAGATATGGGTCTCCATGCTGCGTTTGGTGCAGCCCAGCTCCCGAAGAACGCGCATCACGAAGCGCCGGTTGTACGTGGAGACGTCACCCTCACTGAACAGCAGACCTGAGGAGAAACACGGTGTATTTGCTCACCGACTTGACATGACATGGCTGGCATAACTGCATCGCTATGACAACAGCTACACGATTGTATGTATGCCTTGCAGTCAAATGTTTAACGTGTCACATTTGATGAGTGACTATATGCTCAGTGATCAACCATTCCTTTATAATTATTCAAAAGACTTCGCTTAGTAACGTTGGCGTTTGATGTCCAGATGAAATTGGGCTAACTTTCTTTGTGACACGATTGATAGTTCCGCCTGGATTATGAACACTGTTGCTTTGCTGATATACCTTGTCATGAGGCAATACCGTTGGCCTCAAATTATGTAGGTACGATCCTCAGGCACTAATGAGTAAACTGAAGGAATTGGCGGTATTCTGGCTTATAAAAAATCAGGTATAGGACAACGCAGAAAAGGCAGCTTTCCTTGTCCACCCTAATAGTGGTTCAAAATGACATCAAATCGATGCGTAATCTGATGGAAACTTCAGCACCTTACACTTTCTCAGGCTCTGATAAAAGCGTCTGCGGTAGCGCAAGCAGACTGCGGCTTCCTATATAGGCTCCGGTGGAAGCTGCGTTAGTGCCTGCGGCATCTTCTGGTGGAAGCTGTGGTACCCTAGGCAGAAGTCTCCTACCTACCCAGGTTCTGATGGAAGCTGCGGTAGAGCAGGCAGAAGTCTCCTACATACCCACGTTCTGGTGGAAGCTGCGGTAGAGCAGGCAGAAGTCTCCTACCTACCCACGTTCTGGTGGAAGCCGCGGTGCTCTACGTACCCAGGTTCTGGTGGAAGCTGCGGTAGCGCAGGCAGAAGGTGGCCGGCCGGCCGGAGAGCGCCGTCTGCGCGGCGGCCGCCTTCACCAGGTCGGCGTCTCTCACGACGACGATCAGCCGGCCGGACGGGTGCACCAGGCTGAAGACGGGCCCGAACCTGCCGCCCAGCAGGCGCAGCTCGCTGCTCACCGAGCCGCCGGGACGGTTCATCCGCATCAGCTCCCGCAGGTTACCCAGCAACCACACCGTGGGTGGACCTGTGTCACAGATGATGGTCTTTGTTTCAACTCAGAGCACATTGCAGAATATAAAAGCAGTCCCTAGCAACTTCTTCGTCCATATTGGCGTTTTAACAGTCGCTAACGTATTTAGGAGCGACGGTGTTTTTCGCCCAACCTGTTTGATTCCGTTGACACAAAGCTACGGACACAAGAGCGGTACCACGGATACAAGAGGACATGGCTCAGCACTGTCTGCTGCCAGTGTTCGGCCTACCCTCAGCACAGCTCAGCACTGCCTGCCAGTGCCAGTGCTGCCAGTGCTGCCACTGGCAGTGCAGCCAGTGCTGAGCCATGGGAGCCCGATGCAGGTAGGGAGTGGTGGAACATCAATCTGCCCCGAGTGTACCTGGGTACGATGGGGTGCAATATGACCTACAACATTTACCACCCACCTGGCCTTAACTGGGGTTGCAGTATGACCACCCACCTGGCGGTGAGTATGGTTGCAGTATGATCACCCACCTGGCGGTGAGTATGGTTGCAGTATGACCACCCACCTGGGGGACAGTGGGACGGACGGCGCGGCCGCCGGAGCCAGGCGAGCGCCACTACCAGAAAGGCCAGCAGCGTCAGAAGCAGCAACAGGAGCATGGCTGATCAGCGACGCTTTGAACCCGTCCTAAGTGACCTGGTCCTACTGAGGAGTCAGACTGCCGGCCCGTCGCCTGGTCGGCCTGGGAGTACCGAGCCCGTGCGGCGGGGAGGGGGCACAGGTCCGCTGTCCATGCACAGCGCCGCCCCGCTATTGGGCGCCGGCCGGTGACGTCCTACGGAGGGGGCGGGGCCTAAAGTCATTCACGACCGCGGCCAACTTTGACTGTTCGAAAGGTTCCACTCATTCAGTGACATCTAACTTGGGGTGCCGGAAATCCAAATTAACCCCACTATGAATGCGGATTGGCACGCAGTGCTGTCCAGTCGACAGTGGGACCAAATGGTGGTGACCTGACGGACGGCAGACTAACGGAGTGCGTACCCTTCTGTGCGCACTAATTACCTGTCTAGGTCAACGGCACGCTACCTGGTAGTCGCCTCGGCTTCCGTGTAGTATTCCATTTCATTTCTTTTTTGTTGAGATCAGTTATCTGCCATCTAATGGGATGTGCACCGACACAATAATGGTCGTTAAATTGCATGCAACGACTCTTTTAATTGTCATTTATTTCATTTTCCTCAAATATGCTCAGTTCATTAGCTTACTTATGATGTAAAGTAGACTTATGATGTCGAAAGTTTCTGAAGGTTTGCTAAAAACCAAGGTGCTTATGAGACTCGTATTCATTTCATTATAATAAATATGGGTCACCTAAGGCCACGTACCTAGACCCATTATTACAAGTCGATAGGAAAAATGCTTTTTCTGCTTTTCTAATGACGAAAAGGGAGGAAAAAAGGGAAAATGGACTTTTAACGACGACGAAACGACGACAAAATAGACGACTTTTATACCGCTACAAAAAGTCACCTTTACGCCGGTCCCTCTCCAGAAGCCTGCCACTTACTAACTTTGCGACCCTGTCAATCCTGCAGGTTATCGTCTGGAAGATTGGAGCTCTGTGAATATTATAAACACATACAATTCGTATATCTCGGGTTTTTGATATCTCTGACATGGGTTAAGGTCAGATTTGTGACTTCATTATTGTAAGGCAATGGGGAAATTTAGGCACAAATGCCTCCTGCCTCATGAACAAACCCGTCAAAACCACAAAATATTCACGAAGGGCCATGTTAGGGCAGTTTTTCGACAAAAACTTTTATTGGAAACATGGTAGAGCGGTGAAATTACCTGGAATGTGTTCAGGACTTCAACATAGATCGATTCACATACAAACCACCATTCCCGGTCGGATCTTGACCTGGGATCAAATTTTGAAGCTGATCTTTTCAGGTCAAGGTAATTATAACTTGTTCAATAGGTACATGTCGACGATAGTAACACGATGGTGGCAAAAGAAATGTCGTTCAATTGTTGGCGCCAAAGTCATCGGAAAACAATAGTTGGGAACAATTGTTTCGGCATAATTCATCTATGTTGATTGTTTTTGCCTTATGTGCACCAATGACCAAACCATCGACTTGAAGCCAAATCTGAGGACGAACTAGCGAAAAAGCTTTGAAAGAGCTGTCCAATGCGCGTTTCCTCGACTTTCGCGCTCTTTCAATTCACGAATTAGGGATAGGCGCTAGTTCGTGAAAATTGTCAAAATAATCGCTAACTCTTTCGTGATGATTTTACTTTTGTTGACCTCTAGTGAACTTAGAAGAGACCTGACGAAAAAAAATACCTTGACAGTTCTGAAAGATCTTGTAGCGAGCTATCCAGTTTTTCCTGCGCCTCCTTAACTTTATTACTTTTTGAAATACCTGATCGGATGCGGCCAAACATCCCACCGCCCCGCAATGGCAAAGTTAGCGGAGGCCTCCATCAGCGGCCGATTTCAGGAAGCTTAGTGCAGGGTCAGTGACCTGACCTGACCCAAAAATGCGGTTGGTGTCAACAGATCCGGCTTGAATCAAAGGTCAGGTATGCCAAGGTTCAGCTCTCTATCGCCAGCGTGTTCGGAGCTATCGCGAAAAAACCCTATGTGGGGGGGGGGGCACCCGCCCCCCCCCCCCCTCGGCTGACGAGGGTTAAAGATCGCGGCTATACAGCTGACAACTGACAACTGACAATTGTCAAACTCATGACACATGTAGCTTCCAGTGCGGTCACATGGTATACCAAATGAAGACTGTCTACCAAATGAAGACTGAAGACTGATCAGAAATGTTCCTCCTTTGGAACATTTCTGAAATAGTTGAATCGACCAAGCTTTAGATAGTGACAGCTTAGGTGTGTTGTAAAGCCGTTCATAAAAATAAGCTGAGCATCAGATTCAATATTGCCTCAACATTGAACGTTTCCTCTTGGCTCTTTAGGATGAAGGATCCAATCACCACGGCATGGGATGAGAGACCGTTTCCCTCCGGCTCCGTGCGCCATCCCCCGTGGGACCAATATTCTGACCGTCATCGCTTGCGTTGTCTTTAGAAAACGAAGGAAGCCACTCCTCCCCTTGTGATTTTTTTTCTCATGTGTCGTGTCTCTCATCCATCGCGCAACAGATAGTTGGGTGGGCAGATAGTAGACACGTTACTGTAGGTAAAGCCTGCCGGCTGCCAATGCTCCGTGCCGCAAGCATAGGCGCTCCGCCCGACTGACAGAAGGTGGCGCGGCAGGCCTTTGGGTAGGTGGCGCAGCTGGCGGAGGATGCCCTTTGAGGCCCATCGCCTCCTGCCAGCACCATAACGTAGACGAGAGACACAGAGTTGGGACTTTTGGGAAATGTATTTTGGACAATTTAGCAGCTAGAAATATCGGGAAAATATTCAACCGAACTCAATAGAGCTTGATGACATGCTTCTTTATCTGCAATGCCAGCATAATGTGATTTAATTTGACTTGAACTTGACCTAAGATCAATATCTAAGGCCTAAGGGGACGCATTTCACAAAGAAACGTACATACCTAGAGGCATGGGTGGAGAACCTACCCCGGCCACCCCGGCCGTGGCCGGGGTAACTTTCAGCCGACCCCGGCGCGGCCGGGGTAACTTTTTCCACTTTTGTAAATCCTAAAAGCTGTCTCCATACGAAAAAACTGCCATCTATAAAAGTGTCTCTCATTATTCTTATCTACCTTGAAAAGTTCTTGAAAATTTACTTATTTTCATTTTGGAGCTTCTATGTTTTAAAGTCTTTTCATCGCGGAGCCCGACATGTTTCATCAAACAGAAGTAAATCATATTTAAGGGCCGTTATCGTAAGATGGCACTGTAATAACATCACAAGACAGGACGAGGGTAATATCAGTGAGATAGAAGGACGAGCTGCTGGGGCTCAAGGCTCCCCCAACTTAGCCCGCGCCAGGGTGGTGGCCTAATCGCAACACGTTGAGTCGAGAGGTGGGCTTTTCACACTCCTTCTAACTCGGCTACTGGGCTACGAGGCGAGAAGCGGAACGACGTTTGAAAGGGCGACAAACGTGACCAGAGAAATCTGGTCATGTTTTAGGCAAGCTCAATTATACAATCATCATAGATCATCAAAAGCCAAATTTCTCTGATTTTAGCGTTCTCCGACAACTTTTCTCACAGTTCATGAACATAACGGAGCTTAACCCGCGCCCTGCTGGGGGTCCTGGATTTCCACGCCCTGCTGGGGGGGGGGGGTGTTTGAACACCCCCCCTTGTAACTCGGCTCCTGGGCCACGTAGCGATACGCGGAAGGCGGCGTTCGAAAGAGCGTAAAAAATAATGACGAAATCACTTCGGTCAATTTTTTGGTCAGGTCAAAGGTCAGGTCACCAGAGGTCATTGAAGGCAAAATTTCGCCGATTTCCAGGTCGAATGTCGAAAATTTCCAAGAAGCCAACGCATAACTCGGGAACCAATAGAGCTACAGCGCCGCGGAAAAGCGCATTCGATAGCCCTGTTAACGCCCTTTCTGAGTAATTCTCTCAGATTTGACCTAACGTCAACGGTTTTGCCTGCAGGGGGCAAAAACTGCAAAAATAGCCGATTTTTTGGAAAAGTTTTTCTGCAATAACTTTTGACCCAAGCCTTATACGAGCTTACTTTTACCGGCATCGTGTTCCTCTCGTCAAGACGCATCGAATGAACTATAACTTGACCTTGAAAGGTCAACTTGAAAATTTGACCTCAGGTCAAGGTCATGACCTGACCGGAAAGGGCCATGTTGCATATCAGTCGATCCGTATCGTCGAGCTGAACACATCTAAGGCGTTTTCATCGCTCTAGCATGCCTCTATCAAAAGTTATTTGCGAAAAACTGTTAGATACCATTCGTGACCTAAGATGACCTCAGGGCATTAACAAGGGTCACGGACACCATTTTCAAGTTCAGTGTGTCTAAACCACTTGTAATTCGGTGTTTGGGAGTGTTTATAATGTCTTTCATCCAAAAGAGGCGCATTTCAATTTTCTCCCATTGACTTATAATGGGGAGGTCGCAAAATTGACCTGACCTTAGGTCATCGATATCAAAATTCTGAGATATACATTTTGTACATGCTATTGCTCTTAGCAATCGCTGAAAGTTTCAAAGCGATCGGTCACTCGGTGTAGCTATGACAGACATTGAAAGTTTTTATGAGGTGAGGTCACTTCAAGTGACCTGGTGACCTGACCTTGAATGACCTTAGTCTGAAATTTTCACAACATGTGTAGAATTGATGTATGATAAGGTGTACCAAAAACGGCGGCGCTCCGCGCCGCCGTTTTTGAGATATTTGCGAAAAACCACAAGGGGGGTGTTCAAACACCCCCCCCCCCAGCAGGGCGCGGGTTAAAGGTAGTGTGCCAGCTTTCCTGGACTGTATGGAGTTAATGGCCCAGATAAGGAGAACCGGATTTTTAGAACTTATCCATACCTTCAAAACTCATGGAAACGTCTTAAATTCGTCAAATTTTGAGTACCCCAGTGCGAAATTCGCCCCGACGGGTTGTCGGTCGTACCCCAACCACATTTCACACCACTATGAACAATAAATGCACACACTGAAATCGCTATTAGGGGAGAGTGGGGTA